TCAGATTGCTCATAAAGTGGCTTCTGCGTGGTACTACTAGTATTAGTAGCCTTCTCTTGCTCTTTGTTCGCTGCATCCTCTGCTTCTCTTCTCTCTCGCTCTTCTGCGTCTTTAAGTAGAAAATCAACCCACATATCTGCAAAAGACTAAGAGCCAACAAAAGGGACAAATAGATCAAGCAAATGATTTCATTCAAATGAGACGCTATTTCTTTCTGAATTCATTGGTACCTGATTATCTGAAGCTATATTAGGATGTGACTCGGCTGAACCGCCACCACCACCACCACCGCCTAAGATGCCACCGACTAAGCGACCAGGTAATCCCAGTACGCCCCTAACTACACCTTTACCCGCAGCTCCTTGTTGTGCTAATCCTATTCGCTGTTTGTCTTCCTCTGAGAATCCAAGCATTCGAACCATTAGGTCCAAGACCTATTCAGAGACATCCAGATGAGATACATATTAGCTCAATGCTATTTGCGTAAGCTTTACATGTTAAAATATAATCAGTGTCTTCCTCTATAATTATTAGCTTAAGGCCATTTTATGAACTGTAATCTTAAAAGATTATGTTTGAAACAATTGAAGCCTACTTATACTGCCTCTTCAAAGTTGTGATGTAACTTGCCATCTGACAGGCTAAGTAGAACAAAAAGGATTTTGTAATTCAATTTCACAAATCATACCTCTCTGCTGTGATTCCTTTGGAAGTACGTAGCCAGCAACTTGATAACAATACGCCTGAAGAAACAATATGACAAGATTATCAGAATCTGAAGAACACATGGAATAACATGTGAAATAAAAGTTATTGCCCCACCTATCAACCAGAAAATCGGAGTCCATGGACATTCTATTGAGCCTAGTCATGCTTTGCTCAAGAACACGCCTTACTTTTGCATTGTCTTCTTCAACCTTGCTTACTCTGTTTTTCCATTCTGCTGCAATATTTTCTGTGTGCAACAGCTTCGCTGTCATTTCCTCTTTTTCTTTCTTCGATGACTCTAACTGTTCATCAACATCCTTAAGAAACAGAAAAATGGCATAAACCGAAATCCATATGACAACATATCATATAGTTGACAAAGCAAAGGTTAGAAATATTACTTGCAGACGAGCTGAGAGTTTCATTGCCTCTTCTTTAGCCACTGCAAGCTCTCGTTCAAAATGCTCCTAGAACATTTAAGAAAAGGAATACATAAATGAATCAAGGTTACACCTAATAAAAGAAAGGAAAAATTCATAATAGATACAAACCTTAGCTTCAATTTCAGCATAGTACTGGCCAAGAGCAGTTTGAAGATTTACAAGTTCCACATTTTTGGAATCTATTGTTCTCAAACAATTCGCAAGCTTTAGATTTAAGTCTTCAATTATACCCTTTGACTTCCGGATTTCATGGTCGTTGCTCGACTTGATTTCCTCCCCATTAGCCATTGCCTGCGTAAGAGCTTTTTCTAAACCTAGTATCTGAGATCTCTGATATTCATTGGTGTGGCGGAGTTCTTCAATCAATCTACTATCTTCATCCATTTTCTCAGACTCCTCAGTCTCCTGTAAGCATAAACCAAGAAAACTATTATAGAATTTTGTTCACAGATACCTTGTAAACATTGACACTAAGTATAATTCATAACAGATCTTAAAAGTTATAGTTATAGGATAATCGAGAAACTTAGCAAATTATGCAGATTATTGCAAATTATATTCGGGTGATATAAAATAATTATAGCTGATGCCAAGTAACCTCATTATCATATATAAGTAGGAAATTAGCTTCGGATAATAACCTTTTCTAACAGGTGTTGTTTCAGCCGTTTCAGTTCTTGCCTTGCCTTATCCTTCTCTATTCGTGTTTCCTCCAACTCCATTTCCAACCTCTGCAAAGATTTCTCCATATCTTCTTTCCCAGGAAAGCTTCCGGGCTTCTCCTAATTATACATGAGGAAAAGTAGAAGGGACAATAAATGCTTGTTCCACACTTGATTTCGCATATAAACAATGTTTATTTTGGTTAAGGGACCAACTATATCAAAATTTAGAATTAAAGAACCTTGTCCAAACTACTATGATTTCTACCAAGAGCCTCTGTGCCCTCTGAGAAGGGTTCCCTACTTGTTGCTCTCTGGGTTGCTTCCAAAGTAGCCTCTAGTTTTCTTTGTTTCAACTACACAACAGAAAAATGTAGATTATATTCCAGAGTCCAAAGCTCAGAGGACAACTAAAAATGATAAATTCTTTGTTAAGTTAGTACGGCAATAAATCTTAAGCTCATTATTTTCCTTCTCCAGAGATTTGTTAACCTCTTTTAGATTTTCTATGGAAATTCCAACATCCTGCTGCTCCCGACCATTCAACTTCATCTGAAATTGTTTGATTTCAGCCAATTTTGCATCCAATTCACTACGTAGTTTGTTACTCTCCATGAGGGTCTGCATACAGTTTGAATAAATGTCAACTCATTAATCAGATTACAAAACTGTAATGTAACAATGGCGATGCTTAAGTAGACAAAAAAAATTGTAACCTCAGAGACTGGGATAACCTTAAAGTGTAAATACTTACTTTTTCTTTATCTAACCTCAGAGATTGGATTTCCTCCTTGAAAGATTCATTCTGTTTCCGCTCCTCTGATGAAATTAAGGTGAGTGAGACTAGATAAGAAAAGATGTAAAGAAACAGTCAAGCTACAGAGTGGTGCTATATACCCTGTAGTGAAATCTGAAGATTTGTTGATTTTTCTCTCTCTTTCTCAAGTTCTCTAGCCTGGGAGGACGCCATTGACCTGGTTCTCTCTTCAAGCATATCTGCAAACTCCTAAAAGGCATTCACATTGTCGCTTAGAGTTCCGCGCTCAGCAATTAGCACACAACCCGAGTAATTTATTGCACTATCATAGCAGAGCATAAGGTTAAAGTACCAGATATATCCAATTAAAATTTGAATATTTCGTTCTGAAACTCTGATACATCAATACATCATAGTACATGTATCTAACAAACAAAACAATGCAAAAGGTTTATCTAAGAAAATGGCAAATTATACCTTGTCTTTTTTATGTGCCTCGGAATTGTTCTCACTCCCGTTTTGTTTCGAGGCAATGCCATTGTACATTTGGTTTCGACTTTTCCAATTTGTCGGGGACTTCTGTGACCTGTTGGGTGAATGATCGCTGTTTCCCTGCAGAAGACTATTAGTTAGTCTAATGTTTGAAATCTTGAGAAGCATCAGTTATATCAAATACAATCCATAGTACATTACGCGACAACATGTTTTGGCACATTACAACTACAGATAAGCTGTAAGCATGCTTCCTGAATAAAAAATAAATTTGCAGGCTAGCAGTAGTGCCAGATAGCATAAGAAACAAGTACGTGCAAAGAAAGTTGACAGACAGTATACCAAAGGTCCACAACCATTTAAGCAAACACCTAACACCGCAAAGTATAGAGCATCTACCTTCATAGCATTATTGTTTGATGCCCTGGAAAGATCCATTCTAGACTCTTTGAGAGCGGCATTAGTTGAAGTCAAATTCTGTTTCAACGAGCCATTCTCCTGGTTCAATCTGGAAATCTGGTCCTGTAACCAAGTGGCTTCTGTGTGAGGAAAGAGCACGAAACTGATGTGTATGGCAAGACTTTTGATAAAACCATGAACATTCTTTACCTCTTTTTCTTTTAAAAGAGCCGCATAATTAACGGAAAGAGCTTTAATTTCTGCTTCTGATTCTTGAAGCTTGTTGATCTCTGCTTTATATCTCTCAATCTACAAAATTGAGCATTATAATAATTAGCAATAAACAACCAACTACGTCTCTCAGAGTATCAACACATAAAAAAGACAACTCAGACTTTATACAGTCATGTGAGAAAGAAACATTCCAGTAACGTTCGAAATAGAAGAAGATAAACCGAGAATGAGCAAGAAGAAGACAAATACCTCATGATTAACGGGCGATTCGACACCATTGGCCATTGGAGACCTAGAGACAGACCTCGAGTACCTAAAGCCATTAGAATTCCTCCGATCAGAGTCCAAGAAATCACCGCCGCCATTGGTGGACCCGTAAATGGTGAGATCTTCATCATCTTCGTCGTCGTCGTGCACATCGAGCGCGATCTTGTTCAAATTCTCCTTCAAATTGGCAATCGAACTCCACATAGCTCAACTCGCAATAAAACCCGACAGAGTCACAGATTTCTACTCGGAGAAAGAGACAAGAATCTTCTTCTGTAAGATCAAAAATTTCGCGCAGGTAGATCCGATTAAACAAAATTGGTGGATCAGCATATAATTTTCATGATTTCGGTTGGCGGGTCAAATTATCGGACGGGTCGGGTTATAAGCCATTTAGTAAATTAAAATTCAGGCCCAATATAATATTAATGAGCCTCACTCACACAGTGGCCTTTAGATAAATTCCAATGGGCCTAATCCACATCCGTTGAATAATTCCAACTCCAACGGCTACGATGTAATCGCATAACCCTAATACATGCGCTATATAAATTGACCTAAGGATACTTCATCATCCACACCTCATCTAGGGTTTTGTAGCTCAGTCATCTTACTCGCCGTATCTGCGATTTAGCTTAGCTTTTTTATTAGTCTCTTTGTCTGATAGAATTTATTTGATTATGGTGTGATATTTTCTTAGTATGTCTAGAGATGCTATGAAGAGTTAATATCGGAAATTAGAACAGATCGTGGGGGCGAAACTCGTCCCGCGAGATGATGTCCGATTATATTATGGTTCGTATTCGCTGAGCATCGAAATCGTTATGGCATTGTTATAGAAAATAGTTAGGGAGAACGAGGGACCTATGGGTGAAACGCTTTAATCAATGCGTATTCAAGCCAAGTTTACCTTCGGAAATTCATATCGAGGATTGGTGGATATATCCGAGATCTGTTGTTTCAATTCCGGACTTCGGTGTTTCTATCACTTAAGTTTTCGATTAAAAGTTAATTCTGATTTGTGTGTGATAAGAGTAAAAGCGAAGGACCCAGCAGGGAAGCGAGTATACTCATGAAATGAGGCTTCTCTAACCATTTATTTAACCTTCGTAGATTGAGTCGTCCAAGAACTCTTTGATGATCTGTCTTTTTAATTGGATTGTCTTGTGTTCTTGTTGTATATTTTTGATCTAAAGTGTTCAGTTTTGTGTTTTGGGATGAAAATTAGAAGCAGAGAATGTGTGTATCGGCTTAGTGCGACCTTATGCGCTTTGTACGAAAGAATTCTTTGCAAAATCGATTTGGGGCAGATGGGCAGTTGTGATTCATTGTCAATTGAATAGCTCAACAATCATCTTCCCCACATTTCATCTTTAATTACAAGTTCAACTGTAGTGTTGTTGGATTTTCTTAATACGCACTTTGACGTGACATTATCTTTAATGGATTATGGGAACTTTAAAAGTGAAAATTGTGTACATTGAATCATTATTTCGAAGAAGCAGAGATTTGTGTGTATCGGCTTTGTGCTTTCAAATGCACTTTTCACGAAAGATATCTTTGCAATATATATTTGTTGAAGATGGGCAGTTGTGATTCATCGTCTATAGAATAGCTCAACAATCATCTTCCCTACAATTCCCTCAATCTACACCATCACTATTATTCGATTTACTGGTTTTACAAAACTTAAAATGGTTCAATTAAATTATTGGAACATCGTTTTAACTTTTGAGTAGTCCTCATTGAAGTTACTCATATTGGTGGAACTTCTTGTTATTAACGACCTAGTTTTAAATGTGAACGTAGATTAATCTTAACCCTAAGACCATCTTGTAAATCTTACCCCTAATATCCTCCCAATGAAGATGCCGCCCTAATTGAACCTACACGGTAATTATTATATATAGAAACCCGACATAGCTTGACGTAAGTTTCTAGTTAGGGATTTTATCAACTTAGTTTTTCCCGGTGAGAAAGGGTTTTCCTGCATTGGCACTATGGATTTGTTAAGTAATGATCCAGAAACCCAAGGTTATCAGGGGATATGTGCTTTGCCCGACGATTTGCTGTGGCTGATCTTACTCCGCGTCCCTGCAAAAGATGGAGCGGCCACTGCGATCTTATCTAAACGATGGCGTTACATGTGGCAGATGCTGTATAAACTCGCTTTCAAAGACGACCAAGGCAGCGAGAGCTTTGGGTGGTTTATTGACAAGTCACTGCAACTCCATAGGGCACCGAAACTAGTAAGCCTGGTTGTCGAACTGGGTCCACCATGTCCTGTTGACGTAGATGTGAGAAAGTGGGTTGACAAGGCAGTTAACCACGGTGTGAAAAAGTTAGATTTCAAGCTCCTCTGGACAGGAGAGCCCACAAGCTTCCCGAAGAGCCTTTACACATGCGACTCGCTCATTACTTTAACTCTATCCGACCAGATCCTGGTCGATGTTTCCTTCCCGGCTAGCCTACCGTCTCTCTTATATCTGAATCTTTTCAACGTGGTCTACAAAGACGAAGAATCTCTTGCTAGGCTTTTATCAAGTTCCCCTCTTCTCCTACAACTGCAGGTTAAGCGACGTGATGAGGATGACAACTTGACAAACTTTACCGTGAAAGTGCCTTCGTTGAAAAAATTTATTTATGAGAGCAAACGGCTTAAGAAAGAGGAAGAAGAAGATCACACAGGGTCGTTGGTCGTAGATTCCCCTGCATTAACTGTATTAAACATTGCTGACTTTAGGAGAGACTATTGTAGTGTGATAGAGAATTTGTTTTGCCTTGATACTGCATTCATCGAAATTGTTCTTTACCCTGATGAAAACTTTCTGAGATGTCTTTCTTCTGCAAGACGTCTGTTCTTGAAGTTATCCGAATCAATGGTATATCCCACGGGCCCGATCTCCTTTGTTCCTTGTTCCTTGCTTGGTCAACTCATCTTTTTTCTTTATTGCAGGTTGCGTGTTGTAACTCTGTTAAGTTCTCTCGGCTCACAGATTTAATCGTTATTTCAAGAGCTCCAGTATATTGGTTACAACCACTTATGTTTTTGCTTCAAAACTCTCCTAAACTGAAAAATCTTGCCATCTGCAACACGGTAACTGCCCTCACCCCTTAAAATATGCACATCTAGCTTTTGATGAATTGAACTGAAATACCAAAGTAAATGTAATGGTCTCAGGGCTGTCCCCCATCTTCCTGGAACCGGCCGAGTACTGTTCCCCAATGCATATCATCTCATCTAGAGATTGTTAGGGTTATAAACTATGAAGGAAGAGAAGATGCGAAACAACTAATGACATACATTCTTGCTAACTCCAACTGTTTAAAGACAGTGGAGATCTCCTTTAGAGCAACCTGCAATCTTGAAGAGTGCCAAAAGGAGTTAGAAGCTATGCCTAGGATTTCAGCTTCATCTCGCTTTCTTTTTTGTACCCCTCTACCTCTAGTCCACTGGAGTCGTTAGATGGGCTTAGCTACTTCATCTTGATTTCGGTTTGAATTATTGGGTAAAAAAAATCAAGATGATAATTCTATATTTACTCAATTATTTTTACAATTATTGTTAAGTTATTTCAATAGATATTTTTGGCTTTTCAAATGAACTCGATTCTCGATAATGATATGATATGTACTGTATGTCGTAATCATCAAGGCTAAAACATCATATGCTTTTACATGAAAGAGAGTGTTTCAAGACATGAGTGGTATAAAAGGTCTGTGACCAACACAATTCCCTCTTCCTCAGCTTCACTTGCTGCTATATCATAATAATTAAGTACTAAAACTCATCATGTGATTTCTGCGGTAATCAAACCAAAGGACTCCAAGAAACAGCTTTGCACCGAGCTTCTTCTTATTCTTGTTTCTCTTTAGTTTTCCAAACCATCCAAATCTAACATCTTCCTCCATCCTTGAAACTTTAATGTCAACTTGAAAAACATGATATATAGTCCCCACAATCTCAGATTCTTTATATAATTGGATTAATGCTTGTTTGAGTTGTTTCTCTTTACTTCTTTACTTAGTCATCTGTCTCTCTTTCAAAACAAATACAAATGACCAGATCACATGATCATGGTGGTGTTTGCTGAAACCAGTATCCTAGAATCTGAACGGTGACTAACTAATCTCTCTTTGGAATATTAACAAGACAAGACGCCCAAATTTCATTAGCTGGTGGCGATGGCTGGACCCATTGTCCAGGAATCCGGCTGTATATATAGAAATCAAAACCGCTTCTTCAGAGCCAAACATCAAAATCTCGTCTAAATTTATGAAATACTGTTTTGATAACTTACCTTCCTCCGGGACTCAGATATGCATCCCATTCTCTTCTGATCTGTATTTTTAAACCATAAACCAGCTGTATGACTTCTTTAAGTTAAGAGAAAGAGATGGGGATTTCAAATTAAACCCACCTCAATAAGTCTACCCATGTCGAAATTGCTTCCGTAGTAGTAGTGATAGAACTCGACTGGTAAATTCGATATATTCTCGCAACCATTTCCAGGAGCATCCATTGTCTTTTCACAAGATGTGGCAACCGTATTGCTTTCTTTATCTGTGTTTTTGCTGATTTTGTTACTGGTAGTGTCCTCCTCATCGACCATGACATTCTCTACGGTTTCTGTGTTGGTTAGGGACTGAACTTGGTTTTCCTCTTGCTCTACAGCAGCACGAACACTTTCAAAAAACTTGTCATCTTCTTCGGGAAGGAAATGCCCTGCATAGTGTTCAGATAATCAGTTTACCTTAGTCAGACTCTGGTATCAGCACACATTGTACTACTTCAGATTATTGGCATACCTTGCTTCTTTAGTTTTTCAATTCTTAGGGAACGTAACTCTTGCATTTCCTCAACAATTAGAGCTAGTTCAAGCTGAAACATTGAAACCATGAGACTGTTTAAAGATAAAATAACTGGAAAGAAAAACTCAGAGATGAAAATGTATACAAGAATTTTTATGAAAACCTATCTTGAGATTCCCATACAATAATATCTGAGATGGCTTTAAGAAGTCTCACCTCGGGTTCTAGTCTCCTTCGCTCTCGTCTTGCCTTGACCTTCTCAATTGCCTTCATCTCGTCGACCTGAAAACAAACAACCCTGTTAGATAACAAATGGGGAACATGTATTACAGCTATCCTTAATATAATTCCACACAGTGATATTACCTTTCTATTTGCCATGTCCTTGGCCATTTCATTTTCCCTCCATTCATCGGCCTCCTGATCAGCTTGTTCAAATCTTTCAGGCTCCTGAAACAAACCGTATAATCAAGATGATGGAGTTAATAGCTCAAAATACTGAAACACTGGAATATAAGCTAAATAGAGCATACAAGTCCACCTTAGCACGCATTTCAGCAACACACCGTCTCTTTTGTTTCTTCCACAGTTTGTTCCTTTTCGATTTCTTCAGTTTGCAAGTCAATCTTACTACTGCAGATTTTTCTTCCCATGGAGTATTCTCATCAACAACAAACTTAAAAGGCTCAAGCTGTGCTCTTAAGGTAGACATCAAGGAGTTAGCAGCTTCCACTGAAAGTATCTCCTGCTGTCCCAAATCCATCTTCGTAGCGTCTAGATATCTCAAACACTCTACTCCTGAACCTTGCTCTACAATTTCCGTCGAACCTTGGGCGTCTTTGATCATCCTCAACGCTTCCAGTTCCTTCTCCCTATATATAACAACAGTGGAGTAGGTGAAACTCCAATACTCCATTGACTTAAACTTGATTCAATATGTGTGTAACTACACCCTAAGATGGAAACTCACATCGATTCACTATCACAAAAATACAATTTGAGTGACCATTCTTACTTACATTGATTTAGCGAGGTTAAGCGTATTTCGGAGTTGTTTAAGCTGATCGGTTGTATTCTTTGTATTCCAAAACAAACCACAACGGGGCGGGTCCGGAGGTAACATCGGAGCCCATTGGTACGGAGGATTTGGTGGCTGGAAATTCGCCGGATTCATCTCGGAGACTCTCTACCAGAAACCCCCAAAATTCAGAGAGTTTCGAACCAAAAAAAATTAGAACTCAAATTGAATCACTGGAAGTTAGCTAAAATACAACAAATCGTGAGAATAAAGGAGGACTTACACTTACAGATATAAATCATTTAACGGAGGAGACTTCGTCGAGATCGGAGAGCCGAGACCGGCAAAAACAAAAGTAGAGCGCGCGAGGTTGAGATATTTTGGGCCTTGTAATCGATACTTAGGCCCATTTAGAAAATATTTAAGCCCATACACACCCGAAGATCGTTGAATCACAAAGTGTTTACAGTTTTTGTTTTGTTTTATAAGCTGTTACAGTTTTAGACTTTCGACCCAGACAAATTTAACTTGTTTAGATTTCTTCTTAAGAACAAAAACGTCCGTCCGTTACCATTTCTTTCTTCTTTTGGGATTTTATTCTCTTTTTTGAGGATTACTTAAGTCTCTGTTTTGAGTCAACCAATAAGAGAAATTTGGTAGGCCAACACCAACTCAACTAATGAGTGATGAGTAATGACAGACTGACAAAAACACATGAATGACAACTCTATCAACGGTGTCCTTCTGCAATAAAACAATTCCATAAATAGTTTTTAACGTAACGGATTTTAAAGGCAAATTAAAACCAGTGGATTTTTTTTAATCGCTTCTAAAAATAAAACACAAGAAAAAATGTGTCAAAGATTCCAACACCGATTCCAAACACAGTAAAAACAAACCAAAAGAATTCAAAATATAAAGGAAGAGAAGGCTTAGAATCGATTCAAAGCCTGTGAATTACGAATCCAGATAGAGAGAAAGGTTTTGCATTTGCGACCTTTCTCAAAATTGGGTTCCGTTAATTTCTGGGATTTGTTTTGGAGGATCTTAGAAAAATTATTTTAAACAATGGCGGATCAAACGAAGAAGAGATACGTTACAAGCGAGGATCTGAAAAAACACGACCAACCTGGAGATTTATGGATTTCGATTCAAGGTAAAGTCTACGACGTTTCCGATTGGGTCAAATCTCATCCCGGAGGCGAAGCAGCGATTCTCAATCTCGCCGGCCAAGACGTAACCGACGCCTTCATCGCTTACCATCCCGGAACCGCATGGCACCACCTCGAGAAGCTCCACAACGGTTACCACGTGAGAGACTTCCACGTGTCCGACGTCTCGCGTGACTACCGCCGTTTAGCCGCCGAGTTCTCCAAACGCGGCCTCTTCGACAAAAAGGGTCACGTGACTCTCTACACGCTCACGTGCGTCGGCGTAATGCTCGCTGCGGTTCTCTACGGCGTTCTGGCGTGTACCAGCGTCTGGGCTCACCTCATCTCCGCCGTCTTACTCGGCCTCCTCTGGATCCAGAGCGCTTACGTCGGCCACGATTCAGGTCACTACACGGTGACGTCAACCAAACCGTGTAACAAACTGATCCAGCTTCTCTCCGGGAACTGTCTCACCGGGATCTCAATCGCGTGGTGGAAATGGACTCACAACGCTCACCACATGGCTTGTAACAGCCTCGACCACGATCCGGATCTACAACACATCCCCATCTTCGCCGTCTCTACCAAATTCTTCAATTCGATGACGTCACGTTTCTATGGCAGGACATTAACCTTCGATCCTCTAGCTCGATTCTTAATCAGCTACCAACACTGGACGTTTTACCCTGTAATGTGCGTCGGAAGAATCAATCTCTTCATCCAAACCTTCCTATTGCTATTCTCGAAACGCCACGTCCCGGATCGAGCCTTGAACATCGCCGGCATTTTGGTTTTCTGGACATGGTTTCCTCTCTTGGTCTCGTTCCTTCCCAATTGGCAAGAGAGATTCATCTTCGTCTTCGTGAGCTTCGCCGTCACGGCCATTCAGCACGTTCAGTTCTGTTTAAACCATTTCGCCGCTGATGTTTATACCGGTCCACCAAACGGAAACGATTGGTTCGAGAAACAAACCGCCGGTACGCTTGACATTTCGTGTAGATCGTATATGGATTGGTTCTTTGGTGGTTTGCAGTTTCAGTTAGAGCACCATTTGTTCCCTCGGCTTCCTCGTTGCCATCTCCGGACAGTGTCGCCGGTGGTTAAGGAGCTTTGTAAGAAGCATAATCTTCCGTATAGAAGTCTTTCTTGGTGGGAGGCTAATGTGTGGACGATTAGGACTCTTAAGAATGCAGCCATACAAGCTAGGGACGTCACCAATCCTGTCTTGAAGAACTTGCTTTGGGAAGCTGTGAATACTCATGGCTAAAACAGGCTATCAAATTTTCTGATTACATACAGATCGGTTTGATTCGGTTTTGTTGGTATTTTAATTTCGTTTGTGGAGTTCTTTTTTTTGTTTATTACAGTAGTTTGAACTTTGAACTGTTAGGTGTAACTCTACCATGATCAAATTAAAATACAATATTATCTTTATGTTGTGGTCAGTTTATGGTTTCGGGAGGTTCTAAGCAGAAGTTGAATAGATGTGTGGTAACAGAACATAGAAAATGAAAAAGGCTATGCGCAGAATGATGAAGATCACTAAACATCTACAGTAATTTGATAAATAATTTTTGCCCACTAATAAAGCATAGTTGTTCTAAATAGTACATACAAGAAGGATTGTGCAGCTGTAATAAACATACAAAGTAAACCACCGGAAAAAAATGGAGTTTCAAACCAAATTGTTTTGAGTTCACGTCAATGCAAAGTTCGCAATTTCTGTCGTATACTCAAACTAACATTTCAATATGTGTCACAGAAACATCACACCGTCAGCGTCAAGGGTTGAATGCTTTTATACCAAATAGAGTTTATCAGAACACAAAAAAAAAAAATTTCGGAGTAAAACACTGTGTAACTTTGCTTCCACGTACACTACAGTCATACATCGTATGAAATTGCTTGGACTTGGACCTCTCGGCCTCTTTGAAAGATCGCTAAATGCCCCTTTTCCTTTTATTTAATTCTCTTAAAGTCTATATTAGCTAGGTGGGTTTTTCTATAATTACTGTATTATAATAATGGGCTTTAATTAGGCACCTGCAGCCCAATAAGCATAAATGGACCATTTCATATATGTAATTTCGTATTGTGCTAACACATCTCACGAAATTTCAACAATCATAATCGTTGACGATGACAAGTCTCTGGAATCGTTATCCATGCGGAACTAAAGATTATCCTCAAGAGAATTTTGCTGACCTATCCTCTCGCGTCGCGCCTTTTCTCGTCTTCTCTCTGAATCCAAGAAGCCCAGCCAGCATATTCCTCTGCAAAATCCCTTTCTCTTCCAAGTAAATATTGGAGTATCCTAAAACAACATGATTGCCCTTGTTTAAATCTCCAGTCTTCCTTCTTCCCGCTTTTTCAATTCTCCGATGGCATTCCTTGTTCGTTCGCCGGAGATTCCCACCGTCTCGGCGAGAATCAATTCGAGTGTAGGTCCTTCGATTACGAGGAGTAAAAAGGGTAAGGTTAAGGTTTCGGCGATTGACGCCAGAGATTTGTCTGGTGTTAAGAATCAGAAATCGAGGTTGTTCGGGAAATTCTCAGCTCCGGTGAAAGAAGATTGCGAGATTAGCAGAGGCGAAGGAGAAGATAAGCAGGGTTACTATGTCAATATGGGTCACGCCGTTCGTAGTATCCGAGAAGAGTTCCCTTTGCTCTTCTACAAAGAGCCTAATTTTGACATTTACAGGTTTCCATGAAGATTCTCGTTTTTAGATCATCTTATTGAACTGTTCTTCATTAGCTATCTCAAATATTTTTCTGCTTTAGTGTCATGCTCAAATATCCTTGATTAGCTTTTATGTGTACTGTTTGTTCTGTTCTTGGTTAGTTTTGTGTTGATCAGTTTTTTGAATGTCTAATTTCGCACAGGGATGATATTGTGTTCAGAGACCCCATGAACACATTCATGGGAATTGATAACTACAAATCCATATTTTGGGCGTTACGTTTCCATGGAAGGATCTTCTTCAGAGCACTTTGTGTCGACATTGTTAGTGTTTGGCAACCCACAGAGAACACTCTGATGATACGATGGACTGTTCACGGAATTCCTCGTGGCCCATGGGAGACTCGTGGTCGATTCGATGGGACTTCTGAGTATAAATTCGATAAGAGTGGGAAGATTTATGAACATAAAGTGGATAACATAGCCATCAATTCGCCTCCAAAGTTTCAAATGCTCACTGTTCAAGAGCTTGTTGAAGCCATTAGCTGCCCTTCGACTCCCAAGCCGACCTACTTTGAGTTTGGAGATTGATTCATCATCTTCCTCTGAAACATACTTAGTGTTGTGTATAGTAGTAGTCTTTCGTGTAGCTATAGATAGAGAGTGGTGTGTGTGTAATATATATATGACGAAGAATGAAATAAACCCAATAAATAAAACGATATGAATGTTGTGGAAGCCTGCCTTAATGCCTATATACATCATACATGTTGGAAGATGATAACAAAGTAGCATACTACATAAATTAACAAGTACATAATCTTTAACCATTTGCAGTACAGTATCATGCTGTTGCAAATTACCACAAAACTTTGTTTGGTCATTTCTGCCAGTTTTTTTTTCAGTTCACCTGAATCATTGAAAGCAGATCACAAAAGTGATTTTCTGAGACTGAGAGAGGTATAAAAAATTGGGGCCAATGATAATTGGCCAGTAAAAACCATGATGGATCCATGGGCCTTAGCACGTGCAAGATCGGCAGGTCCGTTAACGACAGCTAATCCACACGTGTTAAAGGATGAGAAGCTGGCTTAATGCTGACGTGTTCGCCAGCGTTTCTTTCCATGCACTATGCAACTAGCCGGAAGTCATTAAAAATCCAGTAACGTTGACCGGTCCTCTTTGCAAGGCCATTTCCGTCATTTGTTTGTACCCCTAGATCCCACCTCCGATTTTACTTAAATGCCTGCATAAGAATCTCACCACACAACACACATAAAACAATACTACCATTTAATGTGTTACCAACAACCGGCAATTAAAGCAGCAAATACAGGACGACATGTGAAATTACTATCTATATAGATAGGAGATTTTTTCTTATGTATACTCGACAAAAATTATTAATTTTAATTTTCTTCAGATTATTATACTGCATTAATTTTAAATTCATTGTCTGACTGAAAATAATTCACAACTAATCCAATTCTTGTATTATAGAGATTTGCAATTTAGAGAGGATAGAGATATGATCAAACCATTATTTAATACAAGCTTGAAGATGAAACGGAAACTTCAAACAGTATTTTAAAAACTATTTTTTTTGTATTATGAATTATTTTTATTTAAAAAACATAGTGCGTCTTTCCCAAAGTCGTTTTCTACAGAAGTAATACTTTTTATTTTATTAAAAACTCTAAAAGCAAAAATGGCATTTGAGTCCTTTGGAATTAGAATCGCTTCTACTTCACTCACCTTCTTCTTCTTCTTCCTATTCTCTCTCTCTCTTTCTCTGTCAAGTTAGCTTAGCCGTCTCACCAGAAAGCTAAACCTTTACATCACCGATCAATTCCAACAAACATTGTTACAGTAATCCCATTTTCAGAGCCGTAATTTCTACTCTTATTTATTCCCTCTGATCGCTTAATCTCACCGGTTTTAAGAGAAAAAAACAAAAAAAGCTAAATGGAAACGGAGATATCGGGCATGGATCATTTGGCGATGACCTTCGACGAGGTTTCCATGGAACGCAGCAAGAGCTTCGTTAAGGCATTGCAGGTTTCTTCTTATTCCTCCTTCTCTATATTTATATCTTCTTAAATTAACAGCAGCCACGATCACAATAACTTGGGTTTGGTTTGAGCCAGATCCATCATCTCTTTGTAGACACTAGACTATACACGTTTTAGGAAGTAAAAAAAATTAAGAGAGGAAGGTCGTCTTGTTGGCTGTTAATTAGTGGATTAATGATGGGACCAAGTTAATGATTGTCGGTTAGTGTATTACTGTTCTTCAAGATTTGCATCTGGGGTCAATGTTAGTAGCTCTTGGGATTTTTAAGACTATAGCTTGATTTATATAGCTTTATGATTTGTTTGTTTGTTTAGTTTTTGTGATCTAGAGTTTTACCTCGAGACGACTCCAGAAAGAAACTGATGTTTTTTTTTGTTTTTTTTTGGCTTATACTGTTATTTAATTTACTCTTTCCACTTTTATGTAACAGGAGCTCAAGAACTTGAGGCCTCAGCTTTACTCTGCTGCTGATTACTGTGAAAAATCTTACCTACATAGCGAGCAAAAGCAAATGTAACATCATCTTATATTCAACTACTTACTTTTATAGCTTTGTATGATTATCCTCTTCTTCATATTTTCTCATTACATTACCTTTTTGTTAGGGTATTGGACAATTTGAAGGACTACACTGTAAAGGCTCTTGTCAATGCTGTTGATCACCTTGGAACTGTTGCTTCCAAGCTTACTGATCTATTTGATCAGCAGAATTCTGACATATCAACTATGGAGTTGAGAGCTTCTTGTGTTAGCCAGGTGACAACACCCTCACACTCTTCTTCATTTATCTTATTATCTATTGTAGACATTCTCCCTTAAGTTTTTTTTTTTTAATCTTCTTAACACCAGCAACTGCTTACATGCCGGACATATATCGACAAAGAAGGTCTTAGACAGCAACAGCTATTAGCAGTAATCCCATTGCATCACAAGCATTACATTCTACCCAGTAAGAGTTTTTCTTGGCTGTTGTTAAGATGCGGTTAATTACTAGTAAAATCTGAATCTTTTTTCTTTTTCTTTCTCTGACTGTTGTTAGATTCTGTTAACAAGCGGGTACACTTTAGTCCTCTCAGACGAACTGACACAAGACAGAATCATTACCAAGCTATATCCCGTCTTCAACCTTCAGGTTCAATGTCCTCCTCTTTGAGCTTATTAGTTGATATAAGTAGTCAAATATCAAACATTTTTAGTAATGCTTGGTTTCACTCACTTAGATGCCCCTGCATCGAAATCACTCTCCTGGCATTTAGGCTCAGAGACCAAGTCTACCCTAAAAGGAACATCCACAATTGCGCCAAGGTGAGTCAACATAAGCTTTAGTACTGTTTCCCACGTTCTTGATAGCTAGACAACTGATACATATATATATATATATATTGTGCAGCTCCAAAGATTCAAAAGCTTTCACAAAGACATCTGGAGTTTTCCATCTAGTAGGTACGAGAAACAGGGAGTTGAAAAGGACTCAAACATAGCATTTCTTCTAATACACCTCATGCGAAGAGATTGATGATATACATTGAAACTCATGCAGGTGATGAAGAAAACATTGTGAACAAGAAGCCTTTGGTTGGTTCTCATGTCTCAGGTGTTCCTGCAGTATCTACCGTCACAAAGCAGGCATACGGTGTTGTCCATAAGGTAAATCTTGAGAGTTTACAATTATACATGGAACAAATGTCGCATGAATCGAGTAGTTTAATTGGCATACATCGGCAAAAGCTCAATGTATAGAGCTATTTATTTATTAAATGAGATACGTCTATGGTTTGTGGTTTCCTCAGGATTTGGAGGTTCCCAAACTTCTGGCAGTACACAAGTCAGTTGACAACAACCAACGAAGAGAGATCATTCAAGCTCCTGTTCGGACAAAGAGTGTTCTTTCTGCGTTCTTCGTCAAACAGAAAACACCAAAGCTCAAAGCTGGCTACGTCTCGTGAAAACACCAACTCTTTGTACTTGACAAGGAAATTTCAGTCTCATACGACGTTTCTATTATGTTAATAACATGTTGATTTTCATGTAATTATCTCTATGACCAGTTCACCACATCAACGTACGAAGTCTAGCAAGACATGATTTTGGTCTGTCATTAACAAAACTGTGTAATAGATTTAAGAATATGGTTTCCAAATTTATGCATAATAAACATTTCTATTCGAGTAGTTATCAACCTTGTATCAAATTAACAACAGATAAGCCTCATCGCTTAAGATCCGTCATGAAATGTATTTGACATCATCAACCAAAATGTATATCAAATAATAATAAAGAAAAAAAAATTAGAAAACAAATGAATACCGGTGTGAAAATTTTAAATTGGGTTGACAAGGCAGTTAACCACGGTGTGAAAAATTTAAATTTCAAGCTCCTCTGGACAGGAGAGCCCACAAGCTTCCCTGAGAGCCTTTACACATGCAACTCGCTCCTTACTTTAACTCTATCCAACCAGATTCTAGTTGACATTTCTTTCCCGGTTAGCCTACCGTCTCTCTTATATCTGAATCTTTTCAATGGGGTCTACAAAGACGATGAATCTCTTGCTAGGCTTTTATCAAGTTCCCCTATTCTCCTCCAACTGTGTGTTAAACGACGTGTTAAGGATGACAACTTGACAAACTTTACCGTGAAAGTGCCTTCGTTGAAAACATTTCTTTATCGGACCCACAAGCGCCAGAAAGAGGAAGAAGAATATCACATTGGGTCGTTGGTGATCGATTCCCCTGCATTAACACTTTTAAGCATAAATTGATTATAGGGGAAACTATTGTAGTTTGATCAATAATTTTGCTTTGCCTTGAGACCGCAAACTGCATCCGTGTTTCTAACTATGATGATAACTTTCCGAGATGTCTTTCTTCTGCCAGGGGAAACTATTGTAGTTCAATGGTGTTTCCCTTTGTTCATCACTGTGTCTCTCTTGTCTAGAGTAGCTGCGGTTACTAATAGTTTTAGCCATTTTTAAGAGATTAATAATATACGATAAGAGATTTGTGGATTAATGATGGGACCAAATTAATGATTGTCGGTTAGTGTACTACTGTTCTTCAAGACTTGCATCAGAGATTGATGATATACATTGAAACTCACAAAGCAGGCATAAGGTAAATCTTAAGAGCTTACATGGAACAAATGTGCATGAATATCGAGTAGTTAATTGGCTTGATTAGGCAACAGACTAAATTAAAGAGCTGTATATTTATTATATGAGATACGTATATGGTTTTGAGAAGACAGGTTTGTGGTTTCCTCAGGATTTGGAGGTTCCTAAACTTCTGGCAGCACACAAGTCAATTGACAACAACCCACGACAAGAGATCATTCAAGCTCCTGTCCGGAGAAAGAGTGTTCTTTCTGCGTCCTTCGTCAAACAGAAAGCAACTCGTGAAAACACCAACTCTTTGTACTGAGAAGGAAACCTTAATCTCATATCACGTTTCTTTTATCTTAACAACATGTTGATTTTCATGTAATTATCTTAATCACCAGTTCACCACATCAACGTACGAAGTACAGCAAGACATAATTTTGGTCCGTCGTAAACAAAACTGTGTAATCGATTTAAGCATAATAAAGATTTCTATTGATGTAGTTAACCAACCTTGTATCAAACTAACAACAGATAAGCCAACACAGAGAGCAAAAAGGGCTTAAGATCTCTTAACACAACACAGCGTTTCCAAATCTTTGGAGTCATAGCTTAAATCAATACTAACTCGCGCTTCAGAGCTTCTTGGAATCCATAAAGGTCTCTATTAAATAATCACTGTCTTGGAGCTGCACAGAAAAAAACAGCCAAAGGTTACACATGCTGATTAACATAGGCTAAAAATACCAAGGTACAGGAGATTAAGATGTCCCAGGCGAAATAAACATACCTCCACCAAGTGTAGCTTCAGGTAACTTCTCTATTGAGTACTTGCGTTGTGTCACATACATGATCGGCACACCAGGAATCTACAAACGAACAAAAATTGAAGTTAATAATATCCAAAGAGTTCATCCATGGACATAAACAAAAGCACTGATACAATAGACTATATCTTCACCTTTCGAATTCTTCGCTTTAAGTCTCTATCACATGTAGCCACTATGAAGCATTTATGCTGTATATTGCAAGAAAAGAATATCAAAGAAACATACAAAAGATAGAACGCATACAACAAGAACCATAAGACTAGAGCATTGGTACATCCTTACAGAGTCTTGAATACAAAGTTCAACAAGCCAGGAACAAAGCATTACCTGAGTAACTCGGTCAACGAGACAGTCATCAGCATATGTCCCTTTGTGTACACAAGGTAATCTTTCAAAGCGAGGATCTTTAGCAATCCTACCAAATATTATAATAACCAACAAGTAATCAACGAAACAAATCCATGAAGCAATACTACTGAAAACCCTTGATTGAGAAGTCTAAGAACTTTACCTTAGAGCTACCCGATACTTCTGACCTAACTTCTCTAACTCAGCCATGACGCAGTCCGTGATACAAGGAGTGCCTTCAAACCAGAGATAATTAGAGGTTAACAAGAGAGACAAAATTGCATGCCTATAGACCAATCAAAGTATAAGTAACTCACAATTGGCGTACAGACAGTCTCTCATTCCCTTCTCAAGATCGATCTATAAAAACCAGAGCAAAATAAGTAAACAAAAAGGATACCAAGAGATCCATAATGAGAATCCAATCAGGTCTTTTTTTAAAAAAAATAGAGAATTCTGATCATAGCTCTGTGGTAGAGAAATGTAATCGAAGATGTACTGACCTTATTCTGGATAGAGAAGTTGATAAAGTTAGTATCCACCAAAACCCGGTAAGGAGGAACCAATGTAGCGTTGTAAGAAAAGAAAAGCCCTGCAGGAACACTCGGACTGATCCAAAATCAAATCAAAACCAAATTTTTAAGGAAACCAATGATGACAACTTGGCTAACAGGATTAAAGCTTACACGTTTCTCGGAAGCTCCGTGAGGTCCTTCTTGTTTGGATTCAGAATCTCTTCCTTGTAACTGAAGAAAGAAAACAAAAACCATCAATAATAATAACCTCTAAAACTTGCAGGAAGAAGAATCGTTTACTCACTGTTTCAAAGCTTTATGGCTTATCAGCTTCTTCATGACAGCAAACTTCTGAGGTTTCTTTGCCCTTCCCATATTTGAAGCAAAGAGTAACAAAAACACTAGAACGAAGCAGAGAGAACGGGAAGCTAAGAAGAGGTGATGCGAGGTGCGTCAGAATCGGCGGAGGCGGAGAGGTTTTCGAATTGTTTCAGAAGGTATGAGAGACGGAGGCCGACAACACTGTAAGACGAACTCAATTTTACATATTTAACCCTCAAAATACGACCCAATTAGAAGCCCGATAATGAGACATATGGGCCTATCAAATATGGCCCATTAATTCAGAGGCGAAGCGAGGTTCTTATATCACTGTCACATGTGTTTGGTTTAAGAAACGAAGAGAAAATTCCAGATATTTCAAAGTTGGTTGATGCGAGAATGATCTGGAGAGGAGCAGAAGAAATATCTCTTCCCTCCACATGTTCTTCGTCTTTCTATAAATCAAGAAATGTCTTTAGATTTTTCACTATCCATAGAAGAAAAAAAAAAGCTGCAATCAAAGAAGATATCTTCATTTTTGATTTGGGAAGAGAGTAAGAGCGAGAGACGGAGGAGACATCATCAGAATTTGTGGAAGTTTTTTCGTGTATTCTGTAAGATTCATCGCTTTCCCTTTTGATTATTAGTTTAAGAATTGACTCTTGTTATAATTCTGATAGATGCGATGATTTAGCTGTGAACAATTGTTGTTCCGGGGATGAACTAGTGTTAGTGAGCTGCGTAGATTTTTAGCGTCATGCTAGTTAGTGTCTTTTTTTTTTTAAGTATAGATTGAATCAAAGAAGTGAATTACTCTGTGTTGCTGATTTATCCAAAGGTATTCTTCTAATAAAATTTGTCGATTGGGTATTTGCTGCAGTTGTACCAGAATTTTTTTTTGTTAATTGAAGTTGATCGGAAATGATGCCTGTGTACATGGACTCATCACAACCATGTCAAATGAGACCACAGGGATACTATTATCAAGGGTTTGGGAATAACTCTCAGCATATGTCAATGGATGCTCCATCACCTTGTCATGGAAGCTACGTTCAGGGCCATTTTCCTGCGTACAACGCTCACTGGCCTCCTTTTTATCCTTTACAAGTACCGCACCATCAATGCTGCATGAGCCATTCCGGGTTCTATCCTAACCCTCCTCACGGGCCCTACGTTCCTCCTTGTTACGCTCATCCAGCATTTCCAGTTGGTTATCAACCTTTGTATGATTCTGACAAGGATGTGCCTGGGAAGCCAGTTGGTTTTCACTGTGGGAAATGTTCATCTTCTCCCCAAAAGAATGGCAGAGGCGTTGTGATCGAAGAGCATGAGCCCGAGATTGAGAAAGGAGACCAAGGAGAAGTTGTACTTCCAGTTCGCTCAACCAACTGCCCTTACCCTATTATATGGATTCCTCATGAGAATTATCAGGAGCATAGAAGCTCTCCTGGTTCAGGGAACCATAACCAGCCTCCTTCTCAAGTTAATGCTCCTGAGAAGATGATGATGCAGAAAAACTTTCCAAAGTCTTGGAATAGTTGTTCACCATTTGACAATAGCGCTATGAAGTCCTTGATACAGAGTCAAGATGGGAAAAAGGTGACGCAAAATGGGAAAAGCGTAGAACTCCCTATCAGCAAGTTGAGATCCTTATTGGAGGGTCATGACATGAAGGAGGCGCAGATCCAGAAGAACAAGGAAAAGCCGGGACAGCTTCAGTATCCTACTTCTTGGATTCCATCTCATGAGATATTGGATGATGTTGATGCTTCTGAGAGGAGTAATGAAGACAGGGAAAAGATGCAGAATGGGAAAACTGTGGAATGCCCATTTGATATAAACAAGTTGAATTCCTTATTGCAGGGTCAAGATGTGAAGGAAACGCAGACTCAGAAGAATAAAGAAGAGCCTGGACAGCTTCCTTATCCTATTTTTTGGATACCATCTTATGGGAAATGGGAAGATGTTGAAGCTTCTGAGAGTAAGGAGAGTGGTAATAAAGAGCGTAACATGGAGTCTTGCGCCTCTGATCACCATGGAAATGAAGGTCAGATAAACCAAAAAGAAAGCAAAGAAGGGAACTGTGAGAGCAATGTTCTCTCAGATGCGGAGGAGAAAAGTTTTGTAAGAGATATCCCAGTGCAGAACCATCTACAGGAACCAAGAAATATTCCCGTGAAACTATCAGAAAACCAGCTGCCAAAACCAGCGGAGCCAATCAAAAAGATTGCGAATAATGAGCCAGTTAAGAACACAGAAAAAGAGAAGTCTTCGTCGCCCTCAAAAGCATCCACGCTGCCACCGGTTTGTCTACGCGTTGATCCGTTGCCGAAGAAAAGAAATGGTGGTTCCAAGTCACTAAGTCCTCCTAAACGGAAGGAACAATCTATAGCGTCAGAGGAGACTAAGGTCATGCGCTCACTTTGCTCCAAGAAGGCTGAATCAAGGACTGCTCCTGAAGCTTGTAGTGTGAAATGTGAAGAGGTAAAGAAAGAAACGAAGATGTCTGAGGGAAACTTACATGCAATAGGAACAGAACAAGAATCAGTTGAGAGCAATCCTATTTTGCAAGAAAGATCAAATTGTGAGATTGTTAAACCTTGTGAAACTAAAGAAAATAGAGAACAACCTGCAAAGAAGACCTTAACGGAAGACGAAGCTGCTAGAATTATCCAATCTAGGTACCGCGGATATGATGTGAGAAGATGGGAGCCAACTAAGAAATTGAAGGAGATAGCCACTATCCGCGAGCAGATGGGTGATGTTAAAAATCGTATTCAGGCGCTAGAAGTTTCTACTGATCAACACATTGAAGAGAAGGAGATTGTCATTCTAGGAGAAATGGTGATGAACCTTCTATTAAAAGTGGATGCTGTCCAGGTATTGCATGAAAAACTAATCTTCTGTTGTTATGGATTTCATCGGCTGGATGAAATAATTCTCAAGTATGTATTCTTGTGTAAAGTTGTTGCTGACGTTTCTGATACTTATGTTTATCCTGCAGGGCTTGCATCCCAGTATAAGACACTACAGAAAATCTTTGGCCAGAGAGCTCTCCAGCATTCAAGAGAAGCTTGACTCCGTGAAATATAGCAGCGCCGCCATTGCAGAGAAAGAGGTTGTAAATGAACAATTTGTAATTAACTCTCAGCCGTGTGAATCTCCAGAGAACTTGGAGCACTCCCAGCTCGCAGAAGAGAACAAAATGGTATCTGACTCGAATACAAAGAAGGTTCTTGTCCTGTCCTGCAATGATCTTATGAGCGACTTGAATAGAACAGATGAGCAACCGAATGCTGACGCAGAAGAGGGAACTGGATTGTTTGAAACCTTGGGAACGGATCCTGAGCAAACTACTGAAAATGAGGTGGTTGCTTCCTCGACAAACATTCCATTGAAAATTGGAGAGGGCGAGACTTTTGTGTCTAAGCCATCGTTAGCTGATGGGAACGGAATGACAGTGACCAAAATCGAGGAAAACAAACCCGTGGTGGAGAGTTTAGAAGAGCCACTGAATGAATTGCGACAAGTGGTGGAAGAGACTCATGGAACAAGCTCTACACAGGACCCGGATAACGCTACCGAAGTCTCTGATGCCTCCCAGGCCGACGCATCAGAGAAAGAAGACACAAAGGAAGATGATGATACAGTATTGCCTTCAGGAAAAGATGTCGAGGTCTCAGAGCTACCTGCTAGAGTGACTGACGATGAAACGCAGATTCTTTCACAAGATTCATCATCATATGCTCATGAAGGGCAAGTGACTGCAATGGAACCTGAAATAGTGAGAAAGGAGGAGACTGACGTTTACCACTTGCTCGATAACTACAAAGGCATAGGCCAAGAGAGTTCTGAGCTACAAGATGAAAAACAACAGTCTCGAGAGACAGAAGTCACTGTGAGAGAGCAGACTCAAGGGACAGAACAGTTTGGAGAGACAGGAGTCGTTGTGAGAGAACAGCCTGCAGAGACAGGAGTCGTTGTAAAAGAGCAGCCTCTACAGACAGGAGGCGTTAAAGAAGAGCCTCCGGAAACAGAAGCCACTGAACCTGAGATATCAGAAGAAACCAAAAGGCTGATGGAGGAGAACCAGCGATTCAAGGAAACGATGGAGACGTTGGTTAAGGCAGGCAGAGAACAACTTGAAGTCATATCGAAATTAACCGGTCGGGTCAGAAGCCTTGAGAAGAAACTGTCACGTAAAAAGAGGACACAGATTCGACGTCGTGCAACTAAACCAATATCCTCAAGTTCGATCGATGCCGTATTATAACCACCAGAAACCTTGATATGTCTTGATTCTTTTCATTGTATCCAACTCCATCAGAGAAAGTATCAAAAACGTAGAAAAAAATTGCCTGACGAGAATCTATCTCTATGTTTGACAAATATGAAATATCTTAGCCAATTTTCTTTTTTAAAACATCAATTTTTGTCTTGTGATCGTAAAATAGCAACCCATTCGAATTTTCCTTTTTGAAGATTCAGCCAACAAAAAAAAAAAATCAGCCACAGTGTTAAGGCCCGATATTACAAAAAGGCCGGATATATGTTTCAGGCCTATACAATAAGTTGGTCTATTACACATTTCAGATGTTAATATTGTTAAGGCCACCATTATTGGTGGTCTAACTATCTTTTATCTTTTGCCATTTATTGTTCATTTATTTTCTTGCAACAATATTACACGTCCCATAATATAGTGAATGAAAATTTGAAAACTCTAGAAGTAAGTGTGGTAGGTTTTATAATGGTCTACGTGAATTTCATCATGCACACATATGATTAAGAGAATGAGGTTTAAATTTAATACCATAGGTGGACCACAAGTCATAGTAAAATTCTTTTATTACATTCAATTTCACCATTTCAAATTAGTATTAGGGAGAGAAAGACAATGAGTGTGTGGTTCGTGCGGACATAGTCATCCTTTTCGTGCCAATAACTCCACTCTTCGTTTTCGTCTTTCTCATCGTCACGTTAGTTTGTCTATTAGCCGCCAAATATTCATCTCTCGTGGTCCCGTTTCACGTCCCAACGCCATTTAACACTCATCTCCATAATCTCTTATGTTTACTTTTGTGCTTTTTTTTTCATTACAACAACTAATATTCTTCCCAACATGTGCAAGAGAAACAACAAGTAATGATCTAATCTCATTCTCACCTAATCTATGGTTGAAAAAAAGGGAGTGTTGTCAGTGTTGGTCATAATAAGCCTTGGAGTTGTAGACTATACATATAGCATTCAAAGGACCAGGAATCTTTCAAGCATGGTTGTTGCTGATACGAATGTTTTATATTTAACTCGTGTTCTAGTCTCATAATGACTCTATTAGCCTACTCTCAATCCCAAAAATTTACTAGGCTAGTTAACTAATTCACCACCCACTTGCACACATCCATCAACAGTTATCTAAAACGCATCAACACACACACACACACACACTTATGTAATTATTTACACATTCAAAAATGTTTTGGATAGTGAATTGTTCGGAACACCAAAAATAAAAATATATATGACATATGCAGTAACTAAAGTAGAGATTGTATAAACAACATGTATCTGAATGACTACTATAGTTGCTGGCAACGGAACTTTTTACCGCACCACTGTAACGTAGCACAGTGTTAGTAACTATTGTGATGCAATAGAGGAAAATATCGCTCGGAGAAAAAGGAAAATAGTAAAAGGTGAAAAAAGAGATGTTCCACATAGTATTCTAATTCACACGCATCCTCTGTCTCTGACTCTGAAGTATCTGAGCGAGAGAGATATTTCCCCTTGCAGTAAATAAAAATCTATGGCTTTGTCGGGAAGAAGAAAAAGTCAGAGTGAACTCGTAATCTTTGTCGGGGCAGAGTAATATAGGCTTTGGATATTTGTGATAACTATTTGAAAATATCAAAAGAAAGAAAAGTAGAGTATTAACTAGGATTTATTAGGAATTACAATCATACTTATCAGTACACTACTAATCACGTTTTTTTGGGTATTTGGTATAAAAATGATAAAGAAAGATGGACTCGTTTAAGGATAAAGCCATAGTATTGTATGATCTGAGAGAATTTTTAAGGAAAAGAAATAGAAACAGAGAGAGTCGACGACACAACTGTGGACTCCAGTCGCAAGAGACAACAAAAACATCTCTACAGCCTCAGAAATTGGACATTCCCCATCTCAAGTAGAAGAAGAAGAAAGAAGACAAACTTCCACAGTAAAAAGGGTCTAAGAGAAAGAGAAACAGAGCGAGTAACAGAGATGGAGAAAGAATGCGAAGAAGGGGAAATGGAGAAAAAGCTTAGACGAAGTTTTACGGGCTATAGTAGGAGAGCTGCTCCTTCTACTCCTCCACCCACCTGGCGCCTCGAGTTTTCGCCGCCGCACCGAGTCGGAGCTTCCTCTGCCGCCGTCGAGACGAAGGAGTTTTTGACGAATCCGGAGGTTTCCGTCAGGAAATTGTGCGCCGATTTGTGGGAAACTGAACAATTCCGGCAAAGAATTGGGTTACGACGGTGTCGACGACGGGATTCAGATGTGGTATCACCTTCCTGTGGGCCACTTCATGATCATCAGGTGAACAAATTCGGGTTTATGTAGGGTTTTAGTTAGCCTTCTTGTGTGTTTAGGTTGTAAAGTTGTGATCTTTATGGTGAGTCTAGAGTATATTCCACCGGAGAATTCTCTTTCCTCTCAAAGTGTTGTTCTTTATGATGGGGTCTTGAGGAAATTGTTTACCGGAAAAAATCGACTATGACCAAATTTTACCGGACAAATCTCATGGCCGTAAGAGTTGTGATTTTTGTGATGGGTCGACTAGATCCCTTGGAATTATATTTTCTTAGAACTTTGAACGTTTTGTGGAAGAAAGGAACCGTTTATATATACTGAGTTTTGATTTGCAGCCACCTAGCAGAGGTAGCCTGAGGAGGCAAATTGTAGCAACTTGTGATCATGGACTGGTCCGTAGGAATGGCGATCTCTTGCAACCAATCTCTCCTGCAAGTTGCACCAGTAGTTCATTGGAGGTGCAAAAATCAATGCTTTTGCTCTTCGTTCACTCTAAATGTAATTTAGGAAATGACTTTTTGCATTCTTGTTTTTTGAGCTGGATTTGTGTGTCTTGGCTTAACGTATTTGTAGGTTGTGATGCGTAGACCAGCGTTTAGTCAGACAGGTTCTTCGGTGGTTAAGTCTGCGAGCTATGGTTTGGGTTCCTCTACAAAGCTTCTCAAGGTGCTAAACCGGATATGGAGTCTCGAGGAACAGAATACTGCCAATATGTCTTTGGTTAGAGCTCTAAAGATGGAGTTGGACGAATGTAGAGCCGAGATTAAGGAGGTCCAACAACGAGAAAAGCAAAGCGATAGGCGAGGGAGGAAGTTAAAGGAAGAAGAAGCAAAAGAGGTAAAAGGTGTTTTTCGATCGATGAAGAAGGATTTAGATGATGAGAGGAAAATTAGAAAGCAGTCAGAGACTTTGCATCGGAAGCTAACACGAGAGGTTTGTGAAGCGAAGCATTGTCTATCAAAAGCTTTAAAAGATCTTGAAAAGGAGAGACAGGAACGTGTTGTTGTGGAAAATCTCTGCGACGAGTTTGCAAAAGCAGTTAAAGATTATGAAGATAAGGCAAGAAGGGTTGGGAACAAGTCACCTATGAGTGATAAAGTGATTGTGCAGATCGCAGAAGTATGGAATGACCAGAGATTACAAATGAAGCTAGAGGAAGATGATAAAGGCATTGAAACATTTTTGCGACGTAAGGAGAAGAGTAGATCACATTCAAGTAAAGGAAGTGGCTTGAGAGCAAAACCAGATGATTCGGTTTCGATGCATCAAAGGGTTTGCTTGAAGGAACTCGAAGAAGGGATCGGAAAGCGAACAAGAAGAGATAACAAATTGCAACTTAAGAAGAGCTCAGGCCAAGTTCTTAATCTATCTATGTCTTCGGAAGGAGATAAGATATATCCAGAGAGTAGTCCAAGGACGGTTGATGATCATGAGAATGAAGAAAAGTCGAGAACTTTCTCGAGAATTCGTCAGAGGAATGTGAATGTGGCAATGGGAGAGGATAAACATCGTACTCTCAAGGATAAGCTGATGGAAGCTCGTGTAGAGAGTCGACGTTTACGTTCTCCTTTGAAACCAGAGTTGAGTCCGAGTGATCTGGTTCAAGGATGAGCCAGTTTGATAGCTCGTGTAGTTGTAAGGTTAATGTTTGTTAGTTTTAGATTTTAAAATCTCTCTATTAGGGAAGAATTCTTTTGGAGAAAAACTTCCACAAGTTTGTATATTATTTTTACATGATATGTCATTAAGATCATGTAATTGGAAAAAAAAAAAAAAACGCAATAGTATTGTTGTTTAATTGTGATAAACAATCAATCTAAGGGGAAGAATATAGTTAATTGTGATAAACAATCAATCTAAGGAGAAGAAAAACAAACAACTCTTGTCAACAACATTCACAACGCCGGTCAACTATTTATGACTTTAGTAATTGGAAATATGAATCTAACGTAAAAATAGACAAAAAGTCACAAAACCGATTACTCTCGAAGAAGACAGATTAGGCATAAAGACAAGTCAAACCATGTGTAGGTAAAATAGCCTTTGACCAAACTCTGTCTGCCTCATCCCTCATGCATTCTCTTCAATTTGTGTGCTTCAAAAAATCAAAAGCCTCAAGAGAGACTTGCATATATAACAATTACGAGAATTGCAACTAAGGACAACTAATGAGATGTATTTTATTTTGCTAGTTAACACTTAACACATTGCAACCTAACGAGTAACCGTATCGATCCTTCTCTTCTCTAAAAGAGAAACTCTAGTCAACAAGATTATGTTTTCAATCTCTAATTAATGGACAATAGGATTTACTGCCATTAGTCTTCTATACTGACTATAGTACTTTTCAATACTATTTTTTATTAACATAGACTTAGTGTTTATTCTTTTTTCATCTATAAAATCACTTTCATACTCTATATGTTCCCTTCACATCATCATCTTAAACTCCCAAACCATCACCACACATATTTTTGCAACTCTTTTGAAAAAATATGTCAAACTCTTCCCTTGGTTTTTATCAAGTGTAAGGAACTTAGGAGCTCCCTTGGTCCAAAACGAGGAGGACAAGATTTAAGGAACATAAAAAGCAGAATCTTTTAAGTGTTCATGGATTCCTCATTGAGAGTAGGTTAACATCAGCTCTTTAAGGGGATTGCATGAGCTCTTAGATTTTCTCTCTTCCTCTTTATATATATATATATATATATATATATATCCTTCTCTTCTCTTCGTTTGGATTGAAGGGAGCTCCTTTTGATCTCCTTCTCTGTTGGATCAGTGCTTGAAAAATGTTTCTTTTCTCTCTGACGTCTTTTTTTTTTTTTCCTTTTTCAGGTTGATATGTTTTACTTGCAGGCGACATTAATGGCTTCTTTTTTTTGGTTTGATTGTAGTTGTTACATTAAATCGAAACTGTTTAAGACTTTAAGTGATCATATCTACGAGTATATACAATAGTGAAGTACAGGTTTGTCAATGTGTAAGACTACCAAGAGGCAAGAGCAAGAGGTGTGTATGTATGCGGGAGATTAGTCCAATACTGTCTATAAAATTCAATCACCCGGTCAAAACCTAATTAACAAAATAACACAAGATGAAACTCCAAATTAGACTTTTGATTCCAAAGTTTCATTCCAACTACTAATATATTGTAATGACATGAAGACATTGCCGTTTGTTGAACGAGTTGTCTTCTTACTAAATTTGATATTTTCCAACCAATCACGAATCCTAAATTTGCTTTGATTGATTGACCAGAGAGAGAGAGAGAGAGCAGCATAAAATATAAAACTCTCAACTTTTTGTTCTCTTTCTAATTATGTAAATTTTAAATCTTCCCCCAAACAAATACTTAAAACTACTTTCAAGATAATGAAAATCGAATTCGAACAAATAAATTTGAAGAGTATTGTATTAAGTCAAAATTAAAATCGAACCGGCGCGAATTATGCATACTACAGGAAAAGAACCAAAATGCTTATTACATTACAATCAAAAAGACTGAACCGGTTAACTAATTAGTTAGGCAGTAACGACGAACAGACCTCTTTTTTCTTTTCTTTTTTCTTTTGTTACTTTAATTAGCCTTTCATTTAATTTATCCGTCACCGACCTGTAGCCATAACCGTTCAACGTCGACCAGCTCTTCTCTTGTCCTTTCTTTTCTGGAGTTTAAAAAAAGAGAGAGACTTTTTTAGGGTTTCATTTGTTAATTCGTTCCTCAAAAAAAAAAAAAAGTCCTTTTCGAATTGAACCCTCTTTTTTTGTTATCCTGATTCTTCTGCTGGGTTCTCGCCGGAGAGAAGACGGAGAAGAGGGTTTCGGAAAAGGAGGATGAGAGGTTCCAATAATACCGATCTATTCGACCCTAAGACAGAGATGGATTCCACTTTCTCTCGCCATGGTTCGTCTCCCGAAGGTGATTTTGGTTTCGCTTTCAATGACAGTAACTTCTCCGACCGTTTGCTCCGGATCGAGATCTTGGGTGGGCCTTCCGATTCTAGGTCCGATGGTGAAGGCTGTACGAGTATTGCCGATTGGGCCCGTCATCGCAAGCGGAGAAGAGAGGATAACAAAAAGGACAATGGTGGTACGTTTTTAGAATGATTTTGATCGGTTTCTGGTTTAGGGCTTTTATATTTTTCGTCTCTTTTAATGTTTAAGAAAAACTTTCATTTCCAGTTGCGATTTCAGACATTGTGGCATGTGCCGAAGAGCAGATTTTAACCGATAACAACCAACCTGATATGGATGATTGTCCTGGTGGTGATAATCTCGACGATGAAGGAGAGGCAATGGTGGAAGAGGCTCTATCAGGTAATTATTTTTTAGCAACTATTCTTACTTCTCTCGGGTGATTGGGTTTGGAGTTTTTTATGTGTTTTAAGTAATCTTCAAAATAACTATTTCTGTTCAAGTAATTTGTCTGAAACGTTCCAGGTTTGTTTATAAATGGTGTTGTAGGTGATGACGATGTATCTAGTGAGCCAAATTGGGGTATTGACTCTTCTGTTGTTAGAGTTAAAGAACTGCATATTAGTTCTCCCATCTTGGCTGCAAAAAGCCCTTTTTTCTATAAGGTATTAACGCTTCTTTTTTTTTTTCCTCTTCAATATCCAATTGTTTCCTCTCTTCTTTTTTTCTTTTCTCTTCTTTTTTTCTTTTTTATCTTGCACGTAATGCTATCTTTTGCTTCTTGTTTTCTTTACCTTGTTGTAGCTTTTTTCTAATGGAATGAGGGAATCAGAACAAAGACACGTAACTCTTAGAATTAGTGCACAAGGTACGACAATTCAAGTCAAGATTTTTGCTCCATTTCTGCTATTTGTCAGCCTCGTCTTATTGGTTTCAATTGGATAACTCTCTACTGGCTTCTTATTTATTTTTGATTCTTTATTCCTCTTGCATCATCCATTAAATCAGTTGCTGGCTTTGATTTGTATATATAAAATTTTGTATCCATGAAACGGTATAAGCTTTAAGAGAGTCCACCATGTTGATTTCTCATGTTCTGCTTTTATGTGTATGGCAGAGGAAGGTGCTTTGATGGAGCTTTTGAACTTCATGTATAGCAACTCTCTAAGTGTCACAACAGCACCTGGTTTATTAGATGTGCTTATGGCTGCTGACAAGTTTGAGGTTGCTTCCTGCATGAGGTATTGTAGTAGACAACTGCGCAATATGCCCATGACCCCTGATTCCGCTTTGCTGTATCTCGAGCTTCCCTCTAGTGTTTTAATGGCTGAAGCAGTCCAACCTCTAACCGATGCAGCAAAGCAGTTCCTTGCCTCCCGTTACAAGGATATTACCAAGTAAGACTGTCAAGTGATTTGAAATGCAGTTAGTCGAATCTTCTGTAATCCGTGTATTCATGTGCTACCATCTTGTACAGGTTTCATGATGAGGTTATGGCCTTACCATTGGCTGGAATCGAGGCAATACTATCAAGTGATGATCTCCAAATTGCTTCTGAGGATGCTGTTTATGATTTTGTATTAAAATGGGCAAGGGGACAGTACAGCTCATTGGAAGACCGTAGGGAGATTCTGGGTTCTCGCCTTGCGCTCTACATCCGCTTCCCATACATGACGTGTCGAAAGCTGAAAAAGGTACTTACGTGCAGCGATTTTGAGCATGAAGTAGCATCAAAGCAAGTATTAGAAGCGCTCTTCTTCAAAGCAGAAGCCCCACACAGGCAACGGATCCTTGCAGGTGAAGGATCAGACTCCATGAACCGCCGTTTCATAGAGAGGGCTTACAAATACAGACCTGTAAAAGTGGTGGAGTTTGAGCTTCCTCGCCCGCAATGTGTAGTGTACCTGGACTTGAAGAGAGAGGAATGCGCGGGATTATTCCCGTCGGGAAGAGTCTATTCTCAGGCGTTCCACTTAGGAGGTCAAGGGTTCTTCCTGTCGGCGCACTGCAACATGGACCAGCAAAGCTCGTTCCACTGCTTTGGGCTATTCCTCGGGATGCAAGAGAAAGGAGCGGTGAGTTTTGCTGTGGACTATGAATTTGCGGCTAGAGAAAATAAACCAGGAGAAGAATTCGTAAGCAAATACAAAGGAAACTACACATTCACAGGGGGAAAAGCGGTAGGTTACAGAAACCTGTTTGGGGTACCGTGGACTTCATTCATGGCCGAGGATAGTCTGCATTTCATCAATGGGATTCTCCATCTCAGAGCTGAGCTCACTATTAAACGTTCCACAGACCTTCACTGACTGTTCTTTCTCTAAATCTCTTTCTATCAATCTCCATCTATATATATATAAAAGTTGTATTATCTCGTCATGTAGCAGCTCTAACAACCACGAGTGTCTTTTATAATTTGCTTTGAGCAGAAAAAGTAAGGTTTAAGGAGTACCTCAACTCGCTCTGTATATATTCTGGATTGGTCTTTACTTATCTTCTCTATTCACACTCGTTGACGATATATATATAATTTGTGTTTTCTTAAATTGGGCCTAGCTTTGGAGATTAGCCTTCTAATATTGGGCCTGGGCCTGGGCCTGCTACCTACCCTCACGGTGTCGTGAATGTAAAGCTAAATAATATGGCACGTAGTGTGTGAACTAACATGAGACTTTTTTTTTGTTTAATTTCAAAGTTCAAACAATGCGGCCGGCTAGGCTAGAGTAGCGAGAGAGTGGTAACGTCGAGGGATTAGTGTGAAGTCATAAGGGTAAACTAGTAAAATCAGATCAGAGAATTTAGAGTCCTCGTCACATGTTGATTGGCCCACAGAAAAGCGTAAGGAAGACTATCCGCTTACCAGACAGACACGTCATATTGTCGGGGACACGTTAGAGCCGTTGGATTTAAATCTCCTTTTCTGACTTTCGTCCCCACGTAGCAACACCTACATATTAATATTAATAAATAATAATGTCTTTTAATATTCTATATACTATAATAAAATACTACAGTACTACTATTTGATCAAAAAACACGTCAGATGACTCGATAGTTTTAAATAAAACACACGTTTTTTATTTTCTTGCTCGAGGCGGCATCAAAGCTGGCAAAGACGAGCTCGACGGTGCAGATTCAAATCTGACGTGGTTTTGTTACCTTGGCTTACGTCATCGAAAACCTCAGTAGGTATCATGTTAATACTAGTAGGCGTATGCGGTATGTATGTATTGTGGTACTGTACACAAAAAATAACAGTAAAAAAAAATTAAAGTTAGAGAGAAAATAGGCCAGACAATATTTCCTTAATCCATCGAATGAGTGATCGACACGTAGATACATCCATGTGAGTCGCATTTTGTAAACTAGCTAGGGACCACTTCGTGGATAGAAGCTCTTTTACGCCAACGCACCAAATAAAATTTGAAAAAGCTTCGTTGGCCTCTTTAACTGGCGTGGCCTTTTTCTAAACCATTGGATCGTTTGTTTTATCCTAGCCGTTGGATTCGAAGCACTTGTCGGGCTTCGGTGGGCCTTTTATTTTATTATAATAATAATGGATTGGAGGCAAATAAATAAAAAAGTGCTTCCATGATGGCAGAAACGTGGCCATACACGTGGGTCGTCGTCTCGTGGCAGTGGCACCTTTGGAAGACATGAATCGGTGGTGAATATTGGACGGTCCAGATCTTCACTTTGGTCGACATAAGAAGTGCTCTCCGCGTCGGAGGAGCTTTTGCTAATTTGCTATGCTTCTAATTAATAATAGTCAAAAAGTCTCTTCTTCTTTTTTTATTTTATTTTTTGTAGCCATTACCCATAAGATTATTATTATCGACTCTCTCTTATTATGAAAAAATATATATTTTCTTTTAGTATGATGAAAATATATATATGGCGTCACTGAAAAAATATGTTTGAATATTTGTGTGACGTAATGAATTATTCTCTTGGTTGCAAACACAAAAATTTCGCAAATTTTGTTGGATGGAATAAAATATATACGGTACATCTTTTCTGTTTTCTCACAAATGAGGTTTAGAATCAGAATTTTTTTTTTGCACATGACTCTCACTGATGTGTGACGGATTTGAAAGAGGGTTGATTTTTTATCCACTATGGTAAATATTATTATAATCTCGAATAATTTATAAAACAAATATTAACTGCAAGTAGAGAGGAGGGAGAGATGAGATGAAACGGACGGACCACGTAAGTCACATGAGGGATGCGTAGAGCGACTAACACTCGAACACGTGTACGGTAGAGATGACATAAGGAAATTGGCTGGCACTAAACCCGAGGAGCCAACTCATCATACACCACCGTAGTTTACGCTGTATTATATTCTATTGACACGTGTTTGATGACGTGGTCATCGTCTTGGCGCTCCATTTTTTTTTTTTTTTTCCTCTCTCTCTTTCTCTCGTCTCCCTCCATAGTCCCTCCCATCAGAAAAAGAAAACGCAACTCTTAGAGAGAGAGAGAGAAAGATGAAAATGCGTTTAATTGCTGTTTAGGTTTCGAATTAGCGATTTAAAATTTCTGGGTTTCTGTCTGTTTAAGCTGCTTCTTCTTCATCTTCTGCTTACGTTTCTCCTAAGAACTTTCGGATTCTCGAAGGTATTGTATAACTTTACGTTTCTCAGAGCTTTTTTTTTTTTTCGGGTGCATGTGATTGTTTCAGGGCTATAAATGTCTATTAGTAACCACTTTGTTGATTCCTTTTGTCTTCCTCAAAGTTTTCCTGAACATAGGATGGGAGGGAGAACTACGTTTTCACTTTTCACTTTTCACCCTTCTCTCTCTCTTTCTCATACAACCTCATCCCTTGATTTTGCAGCAAGAGTCATTGTTCTTCTCTTGAGTGGGAAATAAAAACTTAAAACCATGGGAAATAGCGAGGAACCAAAGCCTACCAAATCAGGCAACAAGCCATCTTCACCACCGGTATGTTGAACAGTGTTATCAAACCTTTTATTCCAAGTCAATTTTCTTTCGATCCTAGTCAAAGTTAGTGTTCTTTGTTTTCCTGTTAATTCCTTATGCGTTGACTTGACTGTCGTTGATAGGATCAAACAAACGTTCATGTCTACCCTGATTGGGCTGCTATGCAGGTTTGTCCCTTTTTTAATCACTCTCCAGTTATATAGCCTAGTAATACCATGATTATGGTGCATGATATGTGGGTTTTGTTACTTGCTACTAGGCATATTATGGTCCACGAGTTGCAATGCCCCCTTATTACAATTCAGCTATGGCTGCATCTGGTCATCCTCCTCCCCCTTACATGTGGAATCCTCAGGTACTATATTTTATAATCAACACACAGACGACTCCTCTTGTGCAAATATGGTAAATATTATGAAGACGACTCATTGGTGTGTTTGGTTGGTCTTGAATCTTTCAGCATATGATGTCACCCTATGGAGCACCCTATGGAGCTGTTTACCCGCATGGAGGAGGAGTTTACGCTCATCCTGGAATTCCCATGGTACACAATTCGCTTCCTCGACCATCTCCTAGTTGAATCCTCTGTGATCGTTTATCTTACTGGCTTGAGTTTCTGTGCACAGGGATCACAGCCGCAAGGTCAAAAGGCTCCACCTTTAACGACTGTAAGTGGTCTAGCTAGTTTGATACATGAAGGATTGAGAAGTGGTTTTGTTCGCTGTTTAATGGTGCTCCTTGTAATTGGCAGCCGGGGACGCATTTGAGCATCGACACTCCTACTAAATCTACAGGGAACACAGACAATGGATTGATGAAGAAGCTGAAAGAGTTTGATGGACTTGCTATGTCTCTAGGAAATGGGAATCCTGAAATTGGTGCAGATGAACATAAACGGAACAGCTCAGAAACGGATGGGTCAAGTGATGGAAGTGATGGGAATACAACTGGGGTGATGATTCTCTTCTCTTGATCTCAGCAATCTTTTGTTTCAATATGATGGTCTAATAGCCTATAACTGGGGTGTATGTTTCCAGGCTGATGAACCGAAACTTAAAAGAAGTCGAGAGGTAACTCCAACAAAAGGTATAAGCCTTTTTCACGTACTATAGAGTTAGATTCAGGATAAATGTGGGATGTAACTGGATTCTTTATTCGATTTATCTTGGCAGATGGGAAACAATTGGTTCAGTCGAGCTCATTTCGTTCTGTTTCTCCGTCAAGTGGTGATACCGGCGTAAAAGTTGTTCAAGGAGCTGGAGCTATAATCTCCCCTGGTGTAAGTGCAAATTCCAACCCCTTCATGTCACAATCTTTAGCCATGGTTCCTCCTGAAACTTGGCTTCAGGTACCCTGTGACATATTTTGATCTTCCACTTGTTGGATTTTCGAGCTTATATTTACCATTTACCTCATCGAGTATCTGCTTTTGTCTCCAGAACGAGAGAGAATTGAAACGGGAACGAAGAAAACAGTCTAATCGAGAATCAGCTAGAAGGTCAAGATTGAGGAAACAGGTTTGGTTAATGAAAGAAACAGTGAAGCTCTTTCGATATTTTTTCTTTTGGTGTGACCTCGCCAAAACAATAAACAAGCTAATAAACTTTCTGTCATTCCTTGTTTTGAAGGCCGAGACCGAAGAACTTGCTAGAAAAGTCGAAGCCCTGACAGCTGAAAACATGGCATTAAGATCTGAACTAAACCAACTTAATGAGAAATCTGATAAACTAAGAGGAGCAAATGCAACCTTGTTGGTAACTAAGCATTAAATAACAAGTTATCTTTATGAACGTGTGTATCAATCTCCTGAACGTGGCCGGTTCTTTGTGGGTTGCAGGACAAACTGAAATGCTCGGAACCCGAGAAGAGTGTCCCCGGAAATTTGTTGTCTAGATATAAGAACTCAGGAGCTGGAGACAAGAACAAGAACCAAGGAGACAATGATTCTAACTCTACAAGCAAATTGCGTCAACTGCTTGATACAAAGCCTCGAGCTAATGCTGTAGCCGCGGGCTAATCGATCATGATTTGAGTGTCGATTGCTACCTAATTTGTCGACATAAACAAAGAAAACAAATGCTGCTAATTTCAGAAAACTTGATAGATAGTATAGTAGATTGAGGATGATGATTGATCCATAAACTTTCGGAGAGGGAGAAAGAAGCTTTTCCTCCGGAAGAAAAAATTTGATGTTCTGGTTGTTAATATAGAGAAGTTTTTTTTTTTTTTTTTTTTTTTTGGTTATAAATGGCTTCCTTTTTCTGCATTTAGGCATGATGTAATTTTACTGTGAAAGATAACTTTGAACATATAAAATGTTTTTGCAATCAATCTTGATTTCTTGATGGTAAGAGGTAATACACCAAACACATTTTATCTTTGATTGATTGATACATGATGAGGTTTAATTATTAATTTGCCAATATGTTATAATAATTAAAATTTGACCAATGAAAAACTCTGGAACTGAAAAACAAAAGATTCTGACGATGTTCAAAAGCTTTGTCATCAAACTATTTGTTTTGGTAGTAAACAAAAACATGAAAATGCTAAAAGAGGAGAGAGCAAAATCCGGAACGCAAAGACTTATTCAAAGAATCTAAATCTTGATGTTGAAGTAATCGGAATCAAAATGATGCAACCTCACGTATCCGTCTTCACCTCCACTAGAGAAACTGAAAAAATACATTTCACAAACTCAGCAACAAAGCCATCAAAAGGACACAAACTAATCATGTGAAGATTGGTATCAATCAATATAAAAATCAAATAGGGTTAGCTTACCTCCTCCCATCAGGATTGAATGCCAAAGCATTTATAGGTCCAAAATGACCCTTCACACCACCAATTTCTTCTTGCAGAATCTACAAATGTCATAAAAAACACAATAACATACAGTTATATATCTACTTTCCAGGTTACAAGTTTTCAATTATAAAACCTTATTGTAACACTAACCTTGTCGTAAAACTTAGCTTCAAACTTCCCAGCACGATGGTCAGTGGTAGTCACAGCTGATGCATCTTGACCACCTCCAAGCACAATCTAAGAGAGAGTAGAAAATTTCACAAAGATAAAATCAGGGTTTGTTAATTTTAGGAATCGAATTTCAATTTTAAAAAGCATTAGTTCATACATGGTTGAGAAGTGGAGACATGGTGACAGCATTTACAGGCACCACTGTTGTGTAAGTCTTAAGAAGAGTCAGCGTTCTCATGTCCCACAGCTGAAAGCATCAACAAAAGAACACTCAATCAGAAGATGTGTCTCTACTATATGAACAGAGCACTATTTTGAAACAGAATGGAACACATGCCTTTGCAGATTTGTCAAGTGAACCTGTAATGAAGTGAGAATCATCAGCTGCTTTAGAGAGCGATGTAATGGCCTTCTTGTGACCCACTTCCTCATCTGATTCCTTGAGCAATTGCCCAGTCTAGAAACAATGGCAGTAGCACCACATAAGATTTAAGCTAATAACTTTAAAAGTGATACTGATACACAAGAAACCACATCAGATATATGAATTACCTCCGTATCCCAGATTCTGATTACAGCATCTTCACCACCACTAACAATAGTTTGGTTCAGCGGACCCCAAACAGCTCTGTTGATCCTCTTCCTTCCCTCAGCACTTGGAAGAACAAGCACAGACTCATCAACCTCTACACCATTGCATCAAACAATTTCCTTTTACACACACGACACAAGTTAAAACTTAAAGCTGGTTTACACATAGAATTGACAACTTACGGTCTTCGGGATCTTCTGCAATGCGTTTCACATGAATTGCAGAGTTACGTTCCATGAAGGGATCAGTGGTAATCACTGCAAGATGATCGCCAACAGCGAAATCCACAGACCTGGCCGGAGAACCAAACTTGAATGTGAACAACTGTTGTCCAGATTGCACATCCCACAGCTTAGCAGTCTGATCAGCACTGCCAGTGATCAATCTTGACGAGTCTCCTAAGAAATCACAAACAAACCACTTAACCATTCAGCTTCGAAAGACTAAATCAAACACTAAACAAGCCTTGAGGGAAACATTGAATTCACTCATCCACTCGATACTATTTGAATCGAATTCGGAAAAAAAATTGCGAAGTTGAAACACTTACGGGAGACATCACAGCACCAAACAGCACCATTGTGGCCACGGTAGGTTCCAAGGCGTTCGCCATTATCGGCAAACCAGAGGGTGGGGGTGTGGTCCTTGGCGCAGGAGAACAGAAGATCGCCATCTCTGTTGTACCTGAGGAACGTCAATGGACGTTCATGTCCCTTCATCAAGATCGGCCTCATCTTCAATTGCTAGGGTTTGATGCGACGAGCTTCGAATCTGTTAAAACCGACAAGAAATCAAATCAATAGATAGACACAAAGATAATTGAAGAAACGGCTATGGCAGACGGCTTTTCTCCTTTACCTCTTCGCTTGAAGACGAAGACGAGAAAACGAAGAGGAGGAGCAAATAAACCCTAGGGAATCAACTTTCTCTTCTCTTTTGACAATTTTAACCTTTTCTTATTCTCCGTTAAAATTACTCGATATGATATATATATATATATATAGTTTTCATTTATTCGTCACGACACCTTTTTAGTAGTTCAGTGGCTAAAGAGTTTTATGCTTCGTCTCTATTTATGGCGAGTTCGAATCACGCCTGTTTTTAAGTTCTTACCTTTTTTAAAAGCAGTTTCTCATCTTTTTTTTTCTTTTTTCAATGATTAGAAAATAAGAACGATTATATTTACGTTTAAATGGTCTGTTAACACCACAATTAACTCATAAATTATTTCAGAAGCTTCATCATACATTAAGTATATTGATAGTGCATAAAAATCATGAAAATGTTGGAAAGAGGTAAAAAAAAAGAATGCGGAGTGAGAGACTTTTTCAAAGAATGTAAATCTGGATGTTGAAGTAATTGGAGTCAAAATGATGCAGCCTCACGTAGCCGTCTTCAGCTCCATTAGAGAAACTGAAAAATATCCATCCCACAAACTCAGTAATAACATACTATATACTCAAAAAGGATTGTACCGATCAATCAAAATCAAATGATGCTGGTTTCCCTCTTCCCAACAGGATTGAACGCCAAAACATTTATAGGTCCAAAATGACCTTTCACACCACCTATTCCCTCTTCCAGAATCTATATATATATATATATATATATGTATATACAGTAAAACCTCTATAAATTAATATTCGATAAATTAATAATCTCTATAAATTAATAAATTTCTCCGGTCCTAACTTGATACCAGTGTAATTTTAGACATATTTCGATAAAATAATAAGATTATAATTTTTTTGAAAATCCTTTGTAAAGATATGGTCCCATCAATATTATAAATTAATAATTACGTAAAATTTTCAAAATATATGTATATATAGACACATTAGTTTTTGTTAGATTTTATTTATAATATTTTACTATATGAAAAATAGTTAGCATTATCTTTTAATACATAATAATTATTATTTATTTGTAATTGATTATATAAAATACTAATTATCATGATTAAATCTTATTTTTAAATATTATCTTGAAAATATTTTCCAAATTAGGAATATCTCTCTATAAATTAATTTATCGATAAATTAATAGATTTTCATGGTCCTAACATTATTAATTTATAGAGGTTTTACTGTATATATAATAACCAAACATAAAATGATACACACAATTACATATCTTTTTTCCAAGTTAACATGTTTTCACATAAAATTTTCATATTGTAACACTAACCGTGTTGTTCAAACTTCCCAACACAATGATGAGTGGTAGTCACAATTGATGCTTTTTGACCACCTCCAAGCACAACCTACGCGACATAGCAGAAACATCACAAAGATAACATCAAGATTTGTTGGTTTTGGGAATCGAATTTGAATTTCAAGAAGCATTAATTTCATACATGGTTGAGAAGTGGAGACATGATGACATCATTTACAATCATCACTGTGCTATAACTCTTAATAAGAGTCCCACTCTGGTATAACTCTTAATAAGAGTCGGCGTTCTCATGTTCCAAAGCTGAAAGAAACAACATAAAGAACAATGATTTTATTTTACAATTCACAATCATCAAGGGTGAATAAACTAAACTAAAATTCGCAGAGTAGATAACAAAAGAGAGGAATAAATATATGCATACCTACCTCGTTGAATCGGTGACCATCTAATCGAAGACTTTGGGGGTTTATACACTCCATTGTCATGACGGGGAAGGAGACAAACGCAAACAAAACGTATTTAGTGAGAGATTTGAGGGCTTTAGAGTTATATTGTGAATTCGTTAAAGCGATGAAGATAAAATTAGTAATTTTTTCCCGAGTATATAGCCACGTGGCAGTAACTTGATCGAATGAGACAAAGTCAGTTTTAAAAATTGTAGAAAGAAGAGAAAAAAGAGGAGGGAGACACATCAGCATTAACAAATGAAATTTAAAAAAACGGCTAAAACGAATTCCCCTCCTCACGTCTCAAATGCATCCTTCTTCTTCTTTCCATTTGGCAAAACACAACGCAACACCAAAAACTCTCTCTCTCTCTTTTCCTTTATAAAAAAAAAAAGAAAACTCAAAATCTCTTAGAAACCAAGTTTAGATCTCTGAGGTTAACCATCATCATCATTATCGCCTCTCTGTTTCTCTTCATATTTCAAGATTTCTCCTCAGGTTTCATCAATTCCGACTGTATTTGCGCTAATTAGAAAGAAAGAAACAGAGAGATTGATCATTTCTTTGATACGATTTTTCAGGAGATCGTGAGAGAGGTGAAAATTAAGATTTAAAAAACAATGGCAGATTATCATATGCAACCGGTTCTTCAAAAACCCCCAGGTTACAGAGATCCAAACAATGCGACCCCTCCTCCTCCTCCTCCTCCCGTTTCCCAGCAACCTATGAGAAAAGCCTCCGCCGCTATGCCTTCTTCTTTCCGACCGAAAAGAAAACGCAGAAGCTGTTGCCGTTTCTGTTGCTGCTGCGTCTGCATTTCTCTTGTCCTCTTCATCTTCCTCCTCTTAGTCGGGACTGCTGTTTTCTACCTCTGGTTCGATCCTAAGCTCCCTACTTTCAGCCTCGCCTCTTTCCGTCTCGACGGTTTCAAACTCGCCGACGATCCCGACGGCGCCTCTCTCTCCGCTACAGCCGTTGCGCGTGTCGAGATGAAGAATCCCAACTCCAAACTCGTTTTCTACTACGGAAACACCGACGTCGAGATGAGCGTTGGAACTGGGAACGACGAGACAGGGATGGGAGCCACGACGGTCAATGGGTTCCGACAAGGTCCCAAGAACTCGACGAGCGTCAAAGTGGAGACGACGGTGAAGAACCAGCTCGTGGAGAGAGCATTGGCTAAGAGACTCGCTACCAAATTTCAGAGCAAAGATCTGGTGATTAACGTTGTTGCCAAGACTAAAGTTGGATTAGGTGTCGCCGGGGTTAAGATCGGGATGCTCGCCGTTAATTTGAGATGCGGCGGTGTTAGCTTGAACAAGCTCGATACTGATTCACCTAAGTGCATCCTCAATACACTCAAATGGTAAATTAAGATTAGTTTGTGGTCATTTCAGTTACATCCAATATTTTGAATCTTTATGAGATGATTTTATATGACACATTGCAGGGTCAATATACATGCATGAAGAAGGAAAGGTTTCGGGGATTTGGGAAAAGGTGGCGATCTAACATTTGTATGAAATATTTGTAAACTATACTGTATATAAAATATATTTTTCTTTTCATTTTTATAATTCTAAAAATTTTCGTGTTTTATACAACGTTATTAATTTATTTTATTTGGATACGTCGAGGGGGGGGGGGGGATTGTATAGAATATAGAGAGTGTTGTGCTATTATATTTTCGTGTGTGATAGGTTTTTTGGTGTAATATTGATGGTGAGTTTGTTATTTAGACGGTAAACAAAACATGGTGTAATGTGGTAAACTGGTAATTAATTACCGACAAAAAAAAGAAGAAAAAACTGGTAATTATTTAATTTATTTATTTTTATTCTTTTTGCAACTGGTAATTATTTATTTGAAGAATACTTGTTGACATTTTTGTGTAATAGTTGGAAACTTGCAATTTGCGGAGCCTAAAGTGGCGGCCTTCGAAGTTTTCACTAATGGGCTCGTCGAGTATTTGGCCCGTAAAGATACAGTTGGAAGGCTTGTGCTATTTTTGGGGCCTAATCTGGTAAATGTTACGTGGCTTCCGTGCAATAATCTGGTGAAATTTTTATTCAATAACTTAAAAGTCATGTTATCAGGTTGTATTTACAAACTTTTAGATTCTGGTATATCAAAATTATGCTCTTGTGTTTACTATATTTATCTTTTTTTTTTTTTTTTGGTAATGACTACATTCATCTTTTTTAATAAGAATAAAGATCAATTTGCTAACCATTATTGGCAACAAAAACGATAAGCTATAGGGAAGCCGCCGGCTTAAAGAAGTCCGAACCAAAAAAAAAGAAAAAAAGGCATTCTATGAGTTGATCTGTTATTTTCCCATGTGTATCATTATGGAGAGAGAGCTATCCTTGTCATTCAATATGCATGATTTTTTAGAGATAATAGAGACTATTTTAGATGTACTGGTCTAATTGAGGATGTACTATATGTATATTGTTTTTTTTTGTTATTATCTATCGTACGGCTACACTAACACTACAGGTGTTTCTTTCTGCAAAAACAATGATCACTACTACATACATAGAATGATAGAATAGTAAAACGAATTAAAAGAACTAGCTAGATCAAAATTCAAGAACGAGAAACGAAGGAGAAGAGAGACGATCACCGTTTATCTGAATTTTTAAAGTCTCTACGATCACCTTTCACTAAATGTCGAGACGACGATGATACAGAAGACCATCTCGTTTCCTATATCTACACCAACACTTCATACCTCGTATAACCAAAAAAGAAAGTAATTATTATGTGAAGGTAAGAAAACAAGAAAAAAAGAAAAAAAAAAAAAAAAAAAGTAATCTCTCATGGCTCAACGTCGTCCAACGCATATGGTGCAATTGCTTTTTGTAATCGCTTTGTCTTCAAGGTTGTTCATGTGGCCCTAAGAGATAAGTCCAATCTCTCTTTTGTTTCCTCTCTTTTGTTTCTTTCTATTAATAGATTAATGCACGTTAGTGCACGCCACATACTATACTTACATATTCTTAATTCTTGTATTCCATATTTGAATCTCTTAAAAGTTGTTTAAAATTGATTTTCTTTAGTTATCTCTTAAAATTGATTTTCTTTACTTATCTATATGACCCCCGGATTCTCTTCTAACAACTTGCCAAATAAAATGAATCCAGACTACCTAGATCCCTATAAAATGTTCTCACACGAACCTGACTTGGTCAGGAAAAAAAAAACTGATTTTTTGTTCTTTCTAGTTTATCACTTTTTACTATATGACAGATGAACCAAATGTATATTTTCAATAGTTTTTGTTGTAAAAATCTTTATTTCTCATGTTAAGTGCCAAGTTATATAGATAAAAATAATGATCAGTACTCTAGGCAATATTAATTACTAGTATATCTAGTATCCAGTGTTAAAATTAGCTGAAACAAAACTGTATAATGGCTGATGCAGTCACTTGATCTCCAAGCAAACAGATCATAATTACCCTAAACGAAGATATGCTTAACTATAATTAAAACGAAATACTAATAATTAACAATAATAGTAATGTTTTTTTTTTTTTTGGTTGTCCGAAAAGAAGAATTAATTAATTGGAACAAAAACATTCCGAAAACATGATTACCATAAAAATCATAATGATCGTAGTGGGTTCAAAAGCAGTGAGTGACAGCACTGTGACCAGTCTCACGTGAGCGGAGGCCCATTTCATTTAGGCGCATGACTTTCACGAACATCAGTGGCGCGTGTCACTCCTATAGTACAGGCACAGTCAAAAAAGTTGCTTGTTAACCAAGTTTGTGTGACCGGGCAAAACCAGACAGAGCTCTTATACCGAAACTAGCCACGTGTCCAAATTCTAGCTCTCTTATTATATTAATCGGAGAAGCGGCTGGTCGTTTTAAGCGCCACAAATCTCTCTCTCTCTCTCTCTTTCTAATTTTTCATTTTACAGAAAACATAATTATGATATTAACTCATAACCAATTAATAAAATATTGAGATAAATACAAAAGTTACTACGTTTAACCAAATCTCGGAATTTCCATAACGATTTTGAAAATTTCGAAAATCAAGAAATAAAGTTAAAAAAAAAAAGCAAATAAAAAAGGAAATTAAGAATGGCAAAAGGGAAAAAAAACAATAAGTGTGGGGGTGGGCGTGACTATATTTAAGAAGGATGTTACTAAAGAAACGGCGTTTTCTTCTTCGTAGCCTTTTTGACTCTTCTTCTTCTTCTTCTCCAATTCCTTTAATCCCAATATATATTTTTTACTCTCTCTTGCTATAACTCTATCTTCTTCGCCGAGTGAAATGAAAACCCGGGAGAGAAAAGTAAAGTACACGGTTCACCGGAAAATCACTTCCTTACCGTTCAACGGTTTCCCCAAGACTGTGAAAATCATAGTCACTGACCCATGTGCTACTGATTCTTCCAGCGACGAAGATACCGACAACATATACGTACCTCCAAGGGTTAAACGTTTTGTCGAAGAGATCAGGTTCTGTGGCGACGACGACGGAGCTAAACCGGCGAGGAAGGCGAAGAACAAGGCGACTACGGAGACCGCTCGTGATTTGGTGAAGCCTGTGGTCAAGTACAGAGGAGTTAGACAACGACCTTGGGGTAAATTCGCGGCGGAGATTCGTGATCCTTCCACTCGTACTCGTCTCTGGCTTGGAACTTTCGCCACGGCGGAGGAAGCTGCTATAGGTTACGATAGAGCAGCGATTCGACTCAAAGGGCACAACGCGCAGACGAATTTTCTCACTCCTCCTCCTCCGACTGAGGCGTTTCCGAAAACTCCGGTGATTGATCTTGAAACGGTCTCTGGTTGCGATTCGGCGAGGGAATCACAAACCAGTCTGTGTTCTCCGACGTCGGTTCTCCGGTTTGACCACAACGAAGAAACAGAGTACAGAACAGAGCCGATGAAGCGCTCCTCTGCGTCGGGAGAGGCAAAGGAAGAAACTTTATCATCGGATCCGTTTTTCTTGCCTGATTTGTTTCGCACCGGAGACAGTTTTTGGGATTCCAAATTTACCCCTGATCCTTTGTTTCTAGACAACAGCACGGTGTCTGGTGATAACGATACCAACTTGTCGGAGACTTTTCCCTTAGGGGTGATCGGAGATTTCAGCTCGTGGGACGTTGATGAGTTTTTCCAAGATCATTTTGTTGGATAACTAACTAGTCAATCGAGTTAAGTTCGTTCCGTTCTTATTCCTCTCAAATTTTTCTGGGTTTCGTGTTTTGTTTTCCTTGTTCGTGTTGAGTGAGATGTGGATGAGTGGTTTGATGATAACGACGGGGATGCATCTGAGCCGTCCGTTTTCCCTTTCGTGGGCGGCTCCGATCAGCGGAAGAAGCGCATCGGAATTATTATTTTCCTAAACTTTCTTTAATGTAATTGCGAGTAAATATAGTAAGTAAGTAATTAGTGTGAGTGAGTTTAAATAAGATTTGTGAGAGAGTATTTATTAGGGGTTTTTTGAAATTTTGGTTTCTCTCCGAGTCTGTATGTCACTATGCAAGGAAGCAGTATATATATTTATATATATCCCATATTATTACTTATATATATAATGCTAAATCTTTGTCTTTTGTTTCCTTCGCATGAATCTCTTCCAGCACCTAGTGGGGTTTATATGGGTGACATGTCATTTTTATTTGAGTTTTCTTTGTACATAAAAACATCAAATCAAATTCTTCTCTCCCCCTAACAAATAAATTTATTTAGATAAAGACAAAATATCTTAAAGATTCTAAACTATATGGATTAAGACCAAATCAACTATCTAATTTTAAAATAATTACATATGGTCTAAAGATGTTAAAACAACCATCTTCTTGTGTTTTCTTTTCTTCTTTCTTCTTTTTTGGCACTAAGTGTCAGAGCAACAATGCCCATTAATGTGAAGAACCAACTCCATTGAATCATGTATTGCCCTACACATTGTCTCCACTTTAACAACCTCCTCAATTTCAAAGACAGTCAATTAGTACCACACTTTTTAATCTTACTGCATTCAAAATTTGGCCCATGTCTAAGCAAACAGTTAATTCGATTCGATATAAACAGCAAAATTATCAAACAATATAATACAAGTTTGGTTTACATCACTTTTTTTTCTTAAGGAGAAGGTCATGTCTACTTAAGTTATTAAAAATGGGTCATGGGAGTGGATGAGGTTATGTATTGAGTTGATAAACTTTTCAATGGAGAGAGAGCAATGAAACAGTGAGTAGAAGAGAAAGACAGTGTATGTATTGGGACATGAACTTAGATGTCTTTCTGTCAAAACACCACCACAGACACAGAGACTCTCTCTCTCTCTCTCTCTCTGTTTTGGCAAATTGGAAATTTAGAGGAAAGAGTTTTCCAATGAAGATGAAGACTTCTCATGATCTTGTCGTTGACCTTAGTCACCCCCACTGGCCACTATAACGTTTTTAATTATCTCCTTTCTAAATCTATCAATCTTTCGATTACGACGTTTCCTAATATTATTTACACAAACATCTTATGCCATTGTCATGACATCTATTTTATTCACATGGTTTCTTCAACCTGTCACTCTCTGTCTACTTTTGGAAATGTTTTTCAGTTGAGTTGTAGACTTTTTCTTACACCTTCTTCTACTAACTATGTTTTTCTTTTCTTCTTCAACATTTTAGCTAGATGTTGTAATAACGAGAGAATGTAAAAAGTATGTAATGGAAAAATCTTATACTAGTAGAGAAAGGAGTCTGTGATGTTTTAATAGATAGAAAAAAGGACCATTCACCAAAAACAGCAATAACAGCAGTATTGGTCCGTTCGAGGTTTAATTTGACCAACTGAGTAGATTTGTCTCTTTCGTGTTTTTAAAAATTGGACCAGACCCGTTTTTGGCTTCCCGAAGTGTGTGTGACTACACTGCGCAAACCCTCTTTTTCGTTCAGAAGCAGAGCCCTCCCATTCCTCTATCAGAATTTTTTTCCCTGTGGTCGATTGAATGGTCAAAATATATACACAGAATATGTGACTTCAAATGTTGTGTTTTTTTTTTCTTCTAAGATACATAGTAAAAGAAACCACTTAGGCAATTGGGTGATTTTGTATTGCTATCTTTTACGTATCCGATCACTCACAATATAAAATACGAATATATTTTGAAAAACTAAAGTTTGTTTGTTTTCAAAAGACATATTAATACATATGGTCATGAGTGTGACATAAAATGGACCACTACTAGCCGTATAGAATCACAATAAAGATTTACAAAGCAAAAACAAGATATTCATATTCTAAGATCTACTTGATAAAGACATGCAAATGGATTTGTCCCTTTTTTATATTAAAAAAAAAAAAACACAATTGACCCTGTTGTGCAGAGTGTTTGGATTGGCCGGGGATTGATCCGTGAACAAGTTTTTAAATAACGTCGATTGAAAACGATATCGACCAATACTGATACACTAATACGCAGTAACAATTAAAAGACTTTTAATTTGTAATATCAACTCTGTCTGTATTGAATAGAGAGAAGACTAGAAGAAGAAAAAGAAGGGTGGGTCTTATAATAAGGGGGTCTTCTTAGCCCATGTAGAGAGAAGAGAATCACGTTGCAAAAGGTAAAGTCTTTTTCAGACAGAGGTTGGCCCAAATCAAATTGAGAGGTGAGACAAGTTGCTTGCTGCCTTACAAGAAGATCTCTGTGCCAATGAGATTGTTTATGGGGTCCCTTTAAGTGAAACCTTCTTAAAACGCTTTTACGCTTTCTGTATTTGTGTATCACCCGGTTTGATTCCGGTTATCTTGCAAACAACACAAAGCTGGGTAATTCAATGGCTTTTGTCATCTGTGCTTTGGCATCGTGCTGTCAATTTAGGCAACAATCGCAAAGAACAAAGAATAAAAGCAAAAGTTTCCCAACTTGTTCACATATATCATGTTTGTATGTATGTGGACGAAAAATATACTATAAATGTTGTACACACGATTTTTTGAAATTTAAAAACATGTATTAATTTCTGTGATTATTATTTTCCGATACACTTTCAATCTTTTACACTATCGGAAAATAATAATCACTGTAATTGATACATGTTTTTAAAAAATTTTAAACTTTCAATCTTTTACAGTAGGCCCTTTAACAATAACAAAAAAAAAAAACTTTTACACTAAAAAAACAGGAAAAATATATATATTCTGAAATATTCCAAGCATGGAAGTAAGAAAATGTTAGCAATACAATGGTAAGTACCAAAGCAAACTTTCAAGTCGGGATGGCTTGTGTTTTGATATGCAAAATCCCATTATGTGTTTTTGCTACTTAACTAACACTAACAAGTAACAAGTAACAATAATAGTGTTAGGTGGTGTGGTACCTGGTTGGTGAAATCAAATGCTCATGGTGAAATTGGGTCATTATAAAAGATAAAACACTTATTACTACGTACTGATCTCGCCAGCTTGGTTTCTCATTCTTTCTTTTTTTCACAACAACATATATAGACCCTCTTCTCACGTTGATGAATAGTCTTGAGTCTTGACCTTTTTCCAAAAAAAATATAAATAATTTTTTTAAGTTAAAAATAGCATAAAGTATATATTTGGTCTTCAAGTCTTTAAAAACACGTCAGGAACTCATTCTAACACAAGAGGTTTTAAGCCCATATGAGGCCCATAATGTGAAAGGAGGAAGCTTAGTCAAAAACGGCAAGGAGTGCGGTCAAAGATATCGGAAACTACAACAAGCGTTTATGTGTGGTTTTGTCTGGTTGATTAATCTATCAACGGCAACGAATCGGGTTCCCAAGATTTTTCTTTCTTTTTTCTTTTTTTTTTCTTGGATTTCTTTCTCCATGCAAAATTGGAAAGAAGTAGAAGAACACCACCAACCTTACGCTATCGGGTTAAAACTCTTGACGTGAAATCTGATTGCTCAAGGATTATTGAAATTGTAAGTTCTTATTGTTCCCCTGATGATGGAAGAATCAAAATTAGATTCAAAATCGAAATCGAAATCGAAATCGATCCCGAATGAGAATTTGAAATTCGGAGAAAGGGCTTTATCTGCCGGCGGCGCCGCTTTTATATCGGCGGTCATAGTCAATCCTCTCGATGTTGTTAAGGTTCGAAAGTAAACAAATTTCTACATTTTTGGCTATGGAATCGCCTTTGTAAATCTGATTGTTTTCGTAATAAGCAGACGAGGTTACAAGCTCAAGCTGCAGGAGTTCCGTATCAAGGCTCGTGTCGTTTGGGTTGTTTCGATACGACTTCCACGGTATACTTGCTTGCTAGCTGATTATATATTGGATTCGTATATATTACAATAAGCTCTCTTTGTCTTGAAATGGATTCTCGATTGCTAAAAGCTTTGATTTTTATCTTCCTGTTTATTTCTCAGGTGGTACATGATTTAAGAAGTACTTCTTCTCCTGGGGTGTGTAGAATTACTGGCTCTGCGTCTGTATGCTCAGATAATCAGTACAAAGGAACCATTGATGTGTTCTACAAAATTATCCGCCAGGTTAGAACAATCATACTTTTTCTTTTTTCATTATTGTTGTATATTGATATTAAGATGGTAATGAGAGTTGCAGTGTCCAATTCTATATATGATGATCTGTGTAGTGTTTTATTTTTGATTGTCATGTAACTCCGATATTCCTCTTTGAGAAATTCATGATATTTTCCTTCTTGCTGCCGTCTGGTATAGTCTCTTTGTAATGCAATTCGTAGATAACCTCAACTTTGGAATGTTTTACTTCTCTTTTTTTGGTTCTATTTCTAGTTCATTGTTTACTCATTGGTAGAGTTTCACAGGAACGACTTTATGCAGGAAGGGTTTTCTAGGCTTTGGAGAGGTACAAATGCAAGTTTAGCGTTGGCCGTTCCGACTGTGAGTTCTCTTAAGTAATGTTGTTTGCTTCTTTGACCTATATAGTTCTTCATGACTTATTACTCCTTCTTTGAATATGTGGCTAGGTTGGGATCTACATGCCTTGTTATGATTATTTTCGCAATAAAATGGAGGGATTTACTGCAGAGAAGTCCCCAACCTTGACACCTTATGTTCCACTAGTTGCCGGGACAATTGCACGCTCCTTGGCTTGTATCTCTTGTTACCCTGTCGAGTTAGCAAGGACAAGGATGCAGGTAACTCTTAAGGATTTGAGCAGTCTTTATTTCCCATTACCATTTTCATGAGTTCCAAGCTATTAAAGAGTTCAGAATCAACACCATGTAGTAGTCTAATAGACCTATCCAGCCGAACAAACAATAATAAAGTAGCTGCAATGGTTTCAGATTACTTAATTGGTGTGGAGAAATCTACAATGAATTGATGTTTATCAACTCTGTTGTTTTACCAACAGGCATTTAAGGGAACGCAAAGAGATGTGAAACTGCCTGGCGTTTGGAAGACATTAGTTGACGTCATCAATCCTGTCAAGGGATCAAGTAATGGACAAAACTACAGGATGTTATGGACTGGTCTTGGTGCTCAACTTGCTCGAGATGTTCCGTTTTCCGCAATCTGCTGGTCAATACTTGAACACGTGGGTAATCTGTCCCTGAAAAAAAAAAGATTATGTAGATTTTTACATTGGGTCATCCCATTTATGTCCTCACAACTGTTTCGTTATGAATTTAGACCAGGAGAAGCATTTTCTCGTTCATGGGTGAAGAACCAAGGGCAGGCAGTATAATAGGTGCGAACTTCACAGCGGGTTTTGTTGCGGGTGCAGTTGCTGCTGCAGTTACTTGCCCACTAGATGTTGCAAAGACGCGGCGGCAAATAGAGGTAAAAACACCTTAACTTCATCTTCCATAATTCCACTGAATCACTCTACAGGTTCTTTATATAATTCATCAGCACTTTATAGAAAATTGCTATAATGTAAGTCTGGGTCCTAGAAACCAAATAACATATATAATTAATATTGGATTTTGCAGAAGAATAGAGATAGAGCGATGACAATGACCACAAGACAAACTTTGGCAGAGATTTGGAGGTACATTATTAGAGGTCCATGAGACAATATCTTATGAGATAAACGGAAAGTTGCAAACTTAGGAACCGGTATTTTGTGTGTATGTAGGGATGGAGGAATGAGAGGGATGTTTAGTGGAGCAGGGGCAAGAGTCGGACGGGCAGGACCATCAGTAGCGATTGTGGTATCGTTTTACGAAGTGGTCAAGTACGGACTGCACAACTTTCACCAACAGTAGTAACACTTTATAGTTATTTACTAGACAGATTTTTTTTTAGTTTTTTGATGGGAAGCTACTAAAAAGAAGCCTTCCGCATCAAACTCAATAAAAGAGGTGCTTACTTGAAATAACACCTCTATAACAAGGCAGCGGGGAAATTTTATTCTTTATTGTTTTTATTTTATTTTTTGTCAATCAAGAAGGAATATGTTTATTCATGTTCTTGCATTTGGTTTTGTAAGAAGAAAATAAAGTTATTATTCAACACGAGAGATTCTTTTATGGCGTCAGGAGATTAACATCAAGTTGATCAAAGGGGGTATGTATGTATGTAGCAAAGTCCATTTCTCGATAGAAAATACATGTGAAGTGACATTCATAATTCCGTGATTTTTATACAACTTTTTTTGAGTTCACGTGACAACATTGTATTATTATGTTTGTACTCACAGTTCACCGATAAGAAGTGTGATGATTAACAATGGGATCTGAAGATAGACAGACCTCTGGAAAAGCCGAATTCAAAAGAATTGAGAGAGCTCAACGGCTTCGAAATTTCCGGATTTTTACATATTTTGCTTTTGAAATAGTCAGATATCATATTTCTGAACAAGGCCAAATTTTGAACAATAAACCGGTTTAGCTTCTTGTTGGTTTTTCGTCTAAAGTTAATAAATGAATTGTCAAGTTTTCTGGTGATTGAAAAGCGTTGCGTTAACATTATTAGAACAGAGGCGTATTAGAGAGAGATAGAGATGGGTTATGAAATGATAAGAATAAATAAAATATGGAAGAAGCGAAGAAGAAACAGTAGAGACTTTGTCAATCTCCAGAAAAATCATAATCCGAGACAAAACGCACAAATCCAGACTCTTAGGAAACTTTTATCCACAAAAAAAAATAAAAATAAAAAACTTGGAAAGGGAGAGAGAGAGATTAGAAGAAGGAGTAGGAAGAAGAAGCATCAAGAGGATGAATTAGGTAAGTCAGCACTAACGCCACCACCATTAGCAAATACGCTATCCCTTGATCTATCGATGTTCCTGTTTCAACATACCACCAAAACCCAAAATTCAATCTCAATCACAATGTGAGAAACAGATAGATTGAGGAACGAAATCGAATCCGATATACTTTTTTTATTTTTTTTTGGTTTCACCAGATTTCACGAGGAATCTAGAGATAACGCTCGATTTCAGATCTGGAAATGCTAATAACGTGGAAAGGAGAGAGAGAAAGAGAAGATGAGAGACTAACCATCGCTGGTAGGAGCAGGAGCTGGAGCTAGCGATTGAGCCCCGGCGAGAGAAAATATGACGGCGAATACAAAACTGAACAAAGCGAATCCGGCAACGGGGTTTCTCGACGCCATCTCTATCACTGTCTCTGCTCTGGTGTTTGATCCGAAGAATACGAAGATCCTCGAGGAAAACAAAATCTAACTCCGGCGAGAGAGTGATTCTGCAGAGACGACGGAAGAGAGAGAGAGAGAGAGAGAGAAAGAGAAACGGTATGAGAGGAATGTGAGCAAGTGTATTGGGAGAGACGACGACTTGTTTAAGGTGGTCTTCTTATACTAGTAACAAGACCGGTTCTTTATCCGGTTCTAACCGGTAGTTGGTTATTTATCCACCGGGTCAGAAATTTCTATTTTACTAGTCAAGGCTTTTTTTAAAAAGCATGATTTTGATGATTTTCCCCGAATGCTCTCTTTTTATTTGTTATTTTGACCCTTCTTTGATTTTCTAGTTTTCTTGTCAAATTTGACAATTGACATATACTAGTAGTACTGTGTTTCTAGATAAAATAGTAGAATATAAGTTCTATCTGAATTATCAAAAGGTATAGAGAGAATTGTTGTGTAATAATTTTGACGAAACTTGTTGTATCTCTCTTGATTTTTTTTTTTGGTTATGCGAATTTTTTTTTTTATTGAACGTCAACGGATAGAAAATTATAAAATTATAAAAATCATGAACTTAAACATTGGAATGGATGTTTTATACTTTGACAAAATGAGGTTAATCTATTTCAAGCTTTTGTAGTTTACATGCAAAATTATAGGCAGTTGAAAAAACGTCACATATATTACTGCTAATCAGGTAACTTCAAATTTAAAATCAAAAGTTTCAATAATTAACAAAAAAAGGATAAAAAAATAAAATAAATAAAAAAAGATAATAAAGCTTATAGAAGAAGAATAACATAACCCCAAAAGAAAAACAAAAAACATTAAATATGAAATTTGGCGGCTAGTTTAGTAAAAACGTTACAGCGACGAAGGCCATGTGATGTGATTATTTCTTTTCTTTTCTTTTTTTTGAATTATTTGGGTTTAGCAATTTTGTTTTTTTGTTTAAAATTATTTGAAAGAAAAAAGGAAAAAAAATATGTGTAGAGAGGTCGGGAATGGGTAGGGGGCTATGGCCAGACTGGCAGCCAAACTGGACTTATTCGTCATTATCAAAATATATGACTCTCTCTCTTCTGCAAATGTGTTTTGTTGTTTTGTGCGATTAAATTTAACGGTTTGATTAGTTGGTGTTAATCAGCGTGATTAGCGGTTAACCTCCCAACAATTTCTTTTTTGTTTTTTTACTAAACAGATTTTCGTATCTCACATCACATGTAAGGGTGTCAGCACAAAATAATAATACAATATCGAGATGGATGAATGATGCTTTTATTATATATATATATATATATATATATATATATATATATATATATAACCTAAATTTTACTGAGAAAAAGAGTGCTTTTATTAGTTTCACCCCCTATTCTATTTTTATTTATTCAAGTTGTCAATTATAAATATATATGAGTGTGCTTGATTACTAGCTAGTAGTATTATTTAAATTTAGAGTACCTCGGTTGTTGAATGTACGACAATTTGAATTATTTGCTGTTGTATGATGTTTTATTTTTAATCATTCATGTAATATTCTTTATTAGGTAGCTAATTTCACAAAAACCTTGTAAGAGCATTTAGCCGTTGGATCAGTTGCTACATCAATCATTCTATAGACTATAATACTTCTTTGAACATGCATGTCCCTCAATGTTAGGGTGGGTCTCCTTTTTTTTTGAACTTGGAAATCGTAAAAACCTTATTCAACTTATATTATTTCTTTTCCAAGGGGTAAGCTATAAACAGTACATACAAAAAGTTCAATATCGGCAGACGAAAAATAATCGAAATTCAAAACTAATGGTTCAGAATGAATGAGAAAAAGGCCAAAAGAACAAATACACATGCGTTGATCCATTGCGACCATGAGTCACATGTGCCTAAATGGCTAAATTGCCTCTTGGTCTCTCCCACAATCTTTCAACCATGATCATTATACTCGTTTGATTTTTTCATCGCTATCGTGTTTCAAGGGTGAGAAATATCATATATATTTACGTATGAATTTCTTAGAGTGACGATACAAAATAGTTAAAATATCATGAAAAGCTGATCAGAGATAAGATTATAACCAAGATAAATCGATACCTACATAATTCATTCTTTATAGGGCATAATTTTGCCCAAAAAAAAAGAACATGCCTAGTACAAATCTTGATATAAGTGTTCTTCTGATCAAAGGTTCAAAGAAAGAGAACAGAGATGATCTCACACAGAAGCTGAAGTAGAGGGATAACGAATAGGATGGAGCTAGTAATGGGATTTGTTTGAAGCAAAACCATGTGCCTTGTGAACCAAACTTGCCTCTCTTTGGTTCCAGTTCTATATATTATCAATATGTTTTTGTCAAGTTTTGCTACTAACCAATAATTCATCATCTTTACTATTTTACAAAAATAATGTTATTTGCATGGAAAAATGATAGAAATTATTATTGGTCTGTCATGACCAAATGGGCCAAAAATTTTGATAGTAGTCACTGATAATTAAAGACTTGTTATAAGATTCATTTTTACATTGAATAAAAAAAAGAGAGGAGGTCTTCTTTTCTTTGTCCGGACTTGTTACATGAGGAATCTTCAAAAGACACTTACCTGGCTGATGTGAAACATAACTTGCAAGAGATAGCATACCACCAAGATTTTCAAGATTTTGCTTTGAAGAAAGGATAATGTTTTTTTTTTCTGTTTCATAATTTTTAAACAATATATATATATAACCGAAGAAAAGGGAGTGTTAATTATTAGGTCACACGGACATAATGATAAGTTGAAGTACTGCTACTGTAAAACAGAAGAACTATGGGAACAATGAAACGAGAGACAAAGAGAGTCTCTCACGGAAGCAGAAGGTTCGAATCCATAGAGAAATGTCGGCTCAAAGGCCTGAACTGAACCCACGCCATCAAGCAGCAATCAATTACATCTTACAATGTGCATTTCATATTGGACATACACAGATACATGCGAATTCATGATTTTGAGACATGTGCCTTTCATCGACACCATATTTTCCTTGAGATTTTAGTGATCACACATTGCCACATTCAAACACTTCTATTTCAAAATACGATTTTTTGTAGAATGGTTCTTCATTCACGTATATACTCTTTTTGAAGTAAATGTTTTTCTAACAACACTGAATCTAAAACTTTAAATTGTGAAATATGGATGATTTACTCAAACTGAGAAATTATAATCAGAGATCTCTTTACTCTCTATTTATCTCTTAACAGTGAATCTCCCCAACAACAATTACATGATTAAGCTACGGGAACATACTTGTACAGTTATATACCTCTCATCATTACACATTGATGCCGACCCTTCCGAAGAATCTGAGAAGTTAATCTCAAATTATATCATTTATAAAAAAACTACAGGAAGAAGAATCAAATAATACTATCACAACAGCTTTGCTTCAACTTCTCCAAGATTTTGGTCATATGGGGATCATATCTAGGACAAAAACGTTCCTTAAAGTCATACTGTTTTGTCCTAGATTCAGACTCAAGAGATCAGGTTTTGAGATTTGTCCAAAGAACTTACTCAAATAGTGCAGTGCCTGTCGAGTGAAAAAGCCAAGTTGTTAAACAAGTTTCAGTAGCTTCATGTTCCCTGTAGAATTTGCAGCTACAAGCATATTTGATTTTTTCCTCCAACAGACACTCGACACAAACTGTCCATTGTCATCAAAGTATTCGTTTCCAGAAATGGGATCGACGGATCCAAACTTGTATGAAGTCATTGGCATCGGTAAGGATCTATAGTAACTATATACCTGGATGCAAAATCCAAGTAAAGAGGAATCTTTTGTAAGTCATAACTAATAACTACAACATGTAATATCATCAAGGTGAATGACACGAACTTAAGGCACCTTTGTGCGCACTTCACATATATACTCATGAGAATCTAACATTAAGTATACTAAAGGTTGAGATTTTCTGTTATAATGATATGATGGATACCTCATTGGTCTCTGAACCACAGGCTATGTATCCGTCCAAAACCGACAATCCGACGAAATTCTGCACAGGTACAAGATTACACATCAAAACAACTAATGATGTAGGAAAAGGTGTTAAAGGTATTAAATAAAAAAATTGGACTTACCTTCTGATTTGTATGTCCTTTATACGTTAATGAACAAGCACCAGAAGACAAACCAGAGGCATTTGTCTTATTTAAATTCCAAAGCTTGAGAGAGTTATCAGTTGAAGCAGAAACAATGGTTTCTGAATCCATAAATTTGACATAGCTAACAGCCTTCTCATGGCCAGCCAATGTGCACCATGGAGTTTTGACATACCGAAGATCATAGCAATAGACCTTGTAATCAGCTGACCCAAATGCCAATAAGTGATTGGAATAAGAAGAGAATTGCACGCAACACACATTTGCTGGACTCCAGATTGTGCCTAATGACCGTTTCTGCATAGCCACCAGAGAAAAATATAAGTTCCACTACGTTTGGGTAGTCATAAGTCTAAACAGAGAATCATCATTTCTGGAGTTATACTGATCTGGAATAAGAGAAAACAGCAGGTTGATATACATAAAACTTCTTGCAATATTAAGAGATATTTGGAAGAGCCGTACGTCATTGATGCTCCAAAGCTTCACCGAACAGTCATCACTTCCACTGACAAATTTTGTTGGGTCAGATGGAGAAAAATCAACTGACCAGGCTCGCTTCTGGTGTTCTGTGTACTGCGAAAATCCTTGCCCAGTCCCAGCATCCCATATCTGCACTCACCAAATACCATACAGTAAGAAACTTTCATGTGAAAACATGCCCATGTATTTTCACTTTCACTTAAACAGCTCAATATCTCTATATTCTATCACAAGAGTAACATGACCATATCTCATACAGGAAGAAAAAGCACAGGAGGCTGGTCCTATAGATTCTACCTTGCAGCAGATGATGGTGGTGTAGTTAACAAGAAAGATTACAAACTTGACAAAGATAAGTGAATCGATTAATTTCTACACGCACCTGAACTACACCATCGTAGTCAGTCGAGGCCAAGTAGTTTTTGATGTAACTATTCCAGCAAACACAGCTTAATTTAGATTTGTTGACCATCTCTACTAGTGGATAATGAACACCGACAGATTCATTCATAAATGCATTGAAGTCAAAAATCTTGATCTTCTTTGATATCCCAGCTGCTGCTATGTGTTCCTCATCAGGGTCAAAACTCAATGAGCAGACTACGCTTGCAGAGTTTAAAAGGTCTCCACTTCTTATTGTCCCACAAGTTTCAAACTTGCTATACCGAGCATATTTGCACAACCCCTCAAAAAACACTTCCAGTTGATCTGAAGATTTTCCTTTGGTTCTCATATCCTGATTCTCATTCTGGTTCTCAGAGCACCTGTCCCTGTCCTTGAGTATGATTTTATCAGAACGGGCACGAGGAACAGAACTCGATAAGTTGATTTGTGATCGCATGAAGAAATATGCATCTTCAAGTTGACGAATATTACTCATCAGCCTTTCTGTATTAGCAGTTGGTACAAACAAGGTGCCAGAAGTTGTACAGAGCTCGTCTGGGGAAGATGATTGCACTCTTCTTTCAATAGCTCCATGAGATCGCACCACAGATGCATTTGAAGAATATCTTCGTTCGGCCTCCTTAATATCATCCTCCAAGGTCTGGATATCTTGCAAAAGCTTAGATGCTTTTTTCTGCTTTTGCTCTTCTAGTGAGGACAAAAAATGAAGTAACAGCTCTGATATCTCCTCATCAGCAGCAGTCGATGAAACTGAATTATCTTCGCCTATCAACTCTGACTTTAGTATTTCTCTGTCACAGAAAAAGAAGAGACTGAGAATAGGAATTAAACAAGAAGATAGTTCACACAGTGGCATGCCAATTTATCTGCACAATTATAGGGAAAGCATTGAGTAAAGTTGAAGGTATCCGGCAAAGAAATCTTAGAGATGACTATTTTGCTAATGGAAGGTCCCCACATGATTCATTTGAGGGTAGAATTGAGCTACATACCTAGCTGTTGGTCGGGAGGCGGGTTCAGGATGTAGAAGCCAAAGACAAAATCCAGCTTCCTTTGGGTATTTTGAGAGAAATGTTGGTGGGAGAATCCGATGACGTAAATCTGCCATCATTGCAGCATGCATTTCACCCGACTCACAATGGCATAGCAACTGAAACAACCAATGTTCAAACTTGAGATGTGAGTAAGCATTTTCACATGAAAGGATCAAATACTAGCTCTGGGGTTCAAAAGTCAAGTTTGACTAAGAAACATCACAAATACGAATAAAGACTGGAAAAAATGAAATGGAAACTACCTAAAGCCTGACCCGCTAGCACACAGACAGAAAATGAAAGAAAGAAAAACACTTAGCCAGATATTTTATATCAAGCAAGCAAACTCTTATGACATCTATAAAACAGGTATTTGTCCATACCTCAAACAGAAGAACACCAAGAGCATATATATTCGACTTTTCTCCGATATCTTCTCCATTTATCTCCTCCGGACAAGTATACCATTGCTCTTCAAGCCATGCAGACATAGACTGTTTTCTCGTCATTGAAGACACACTTAAATTTTTGATATAGTTTTGCTGTTGAAGTTCACAACTGTCTGGATTACGTGCATCAACCAGATTCAGATCAATCACAGGGCTTTTCCTTTTGAAAGGTCTCCCGTTTGAAGTGGCCTGAAGCTGATTCCCTGGAGAATGCACATGCAAGTCCATTTTTCTTTTCTTCAAATCCCTGCCTCCAATAGATAATGATTCATGAGCCACGGGCCTCCTCCTATTCAAGTCTTCGTCAACATCTGAGTCTAGATCATTCTTTCCAAAAGTACCAATATATCTAAGTTTCTTTGATGGGACTAACATAAAAAGGGATGGTCTCAAGTCTAGCAAGAATAAGCCTTGTGAATGGGCTGAGTCAACTAGCTCCACCAGCTGCCTAAATAGACAAAGACCATGTCTTTTCTCTCGTCTAGCAAAACTGGATCGAAGAAACTCCCTCAAACTGATTCCACTGGAAGATTTAGTATGATTCCCAGCACCATGTGATACAATCCCATCTCTTTTGGGACTTGATTTTGGAGTTAACACATCGTGAGGAGTAGGGGACTTTTTTTCCTTGCTTCGTATATCTTGATCAGAGACAAATTCAGGAGGAGTTTCCTGGTTTTTTCCTGCAAGACCTTTCCCCTTCATGGCTCTTTTAAGTAACAACTGAGAAAAGTTAGAAGAAGTCACAGGCGACTTCAGCTGGACACCTTCAGTGATCAATGCAGGAGCATTCATAATGCTGTTCTCACCAGCTGCTCTTAAACGTTCAGAGAAAGCTTCAAGATTCTGGTCGGTCCTCCTAGTCATAAAAGGTTTAAGGTTTTGCCTATCAGAAGGAGCTCCAGCAAGCTGTTGTCTGATTCTGGACAACATCTGATCCATGTCACGAGGTTGAGAATCAAGATCCCCATCACCTGCCCTAAAAGCAGACCCTCTAGCAAGACGATAGAGATGCTCAAACTTGCCAGCCTTAGAATTAGAACTATCCATCCCTTGAACGGACCTATAGTTGCCCAACGTCAACTCTTCAACAGAGAGCTTAGCTGCAGCAGAATCCTCAGGAGGCATAGTGGTCATATCAAGATTGCGGTGAGCAGAGCTCCCAGGACATTCACCCCTCATAGAATCATGACCAGTATCAGATTCAGTCAGCAGATTATTATGACGAGCATCAAGCTTACAAGGAACATCATCGACTCGTGGTTTCAATTGTAAGTTGTTACTGGCAACGGTTTCTTCACCAACTCTTTCCATAAGAGGCATCCACATTCATCTAAATCAACACCACATGTAGTAATAAGTATCTTACAGCCTCCAAATACCCTAATCATACACAAAAACAAATCGAATCGCATCAGAATCAAACCAAAGAAAGCAAAATGAATTAAATAAATAAAGAAGCCCTACTTACTAATTTCATGCATGTTCAGAGATACTAAACAAGTTTATATATATATAAATAAAAACACACACACACACACAGTTAATCTCTGATCCCGAAACGTATCCACTAGCGTAATCTGAAGCAGCTAATCAGAACCAAAACTAGGAATTATGTTTAAAAAAACGAAGACCAATCATGAAAATAACGGAAAAAAATCAAATCGCTTACACCGATGAAGGTCCCAGATACCGAGAGATCACAATCGGATCATACAGCGAACCGGTGATTCCAAATTGTGTGGAGAAGAAGCGAAGAAACCTCTTGAACAAAGCACAAATTCAAAAAACACACAACAGAAGAAGAAAGGTGCGTGTGAGGCTATAATAAACTTGTCATGATAAAATTACGAAAAACCAAACCAAACCCAAAAAAATATCTATATCTCTCTCTCTTACTTCGAAACACAATGAATCTCTCTCTCTCTCTCTTGTCTAAAACTAAACTCGCATCATTCGTTCTTCGTCTTCTTCATTCCATTCTTTTTTTTTTATTGGGTATTTTATTTAAAAATTGTTATTTTAATGGTTTGATTAGGCTTTGAAGCCACATATCAAAATCATATGCTTTTCTTTTATTCTGGCGGACAATTTTTCGAACATTATTTTATTTAATTTTTTTACACCACTTTATGCACAAAAAGAGCAAGATTTTTTTTTCGTCTTGGCTGCCCAATTATTATAGTTTTTTATTTTTATTTAAGTAAGAGAGATTATGACACGAGATTACGTTGATAATCATATAATTAGTGACATCACTTATAGAGACGGTGCTGTTATTGGTCGTATTTACGGCGAATGCCACACCATTAGTGAGCACTATGCTTCGGCCTGTAAGGGGTAGGATTGGTAAATAATTAGGAAAAGCGTGTGGGGGTATTAAGAATGTTGCATGGGAGTAGTAATCTTTTTAGGGAGGGATATTGATATTTGTTAAGAGGAGGAGATTAAAACACGTCGACGTCGCTTAATCTATTCGATTGAGGAGAGGGGTCTCACGTGAAAGATGTGGAGACTAATAAGCCACGCTTTTCTTCCGAATAAACTAAGCCAAAACCAAAAACATCCTCCCCCTCCCCCCAGCTACAATTACTCTTAACGGGCTCAGCCCATTTCAAACCCACTACTTATATTTGTTTAGCTTTTGATCTGAAAACTGTATTCAGAATAATGTATATCGGGCTTATCATTGAATCCACATAACTCAACTTCAAATAAACAAATAGAGGATCTAATTTCATAGGCGATACAACCATGGTAGATCATCATTTCTCATATTATTCAGGAAAGAATCACGGTGTTATAGACAATGTCTCATATATTTGAGTTACAACTTAAGGGTTTAATCTTAGTTCATTGTTTGATAATATGTATACGCATTAAGGATTTGAGCTAGTAATTACTATATCTATCTTAATGTATAATGAATGTTTTTCTGTCTATCAACATTAGTTTAAATCATACTTTGAATTAGTTTTCAAAATATATACTTAAATGAAATCTATAAGAAATTAGTACCCATGGTTAAAATATTTTTCAACAAAATGTTAGAATACTTGTTGATCAAAGAAATAAAATATTGATCTAGTGAATAAAATCTCTACCATCAAATCTTTAAGAGGGAAAAAAATACCCGTTACCACTAAAAAAAATTGCAAATTTATTAAACGTGGTTTACTATGAATGGCCATGCAGACACACAAACACACACAAAAATAAAATTGAAGAGAGGTTTCTTGTCTTAATATGACGGCTAGCTAATTTAGGAACTAGTTGATAACCACCATTCACGATAATTGCATCTCTTTCTTTCAGTGCGTCGTCGTCTTCTTTTCGGTTTATGGATTCGTCTTGCGGAGCTAATCGTAAACGCGATGGGGAGGAGAAAAGAGAAGACGATAAAACTTCTCTAATGGATGTAAATCTCATGGTGGTGCTTCTCTCTCAGCTTTGTACAAAGAACGAGATTGTTGAGAAAGGTTTCGAGAAAGAGAGAAGAGATCATGTTGCACTTGCACACGAGGCTCGTGAATCTAGAGCACGTGCGAACAAGAGGTTTGTGAAGGAAACAAAGTTGATGGAGAAGAGGACGCACGTGCTTCATCCCATGGCTAAAGAATTCAGGTGATGAGAACTAATTAATATAGAAAATGTTTAGGTTCTTGCTTCCTTTGTAGATGCTGCCTGCTCATGTTCTGGTTTTTGACTATTTAATTTTGCGCAGGCATTACAGGAAAATGTGAAGGCGCATTGTGTTAATTACAAGAAGGCTGAATATACAGTTCTGTCATATCGTAATCGAAATTTTGTTATTAAACACTATATTAATATATTTATTTATTGGCGTAATGAAAATGTAAGCAAGTATTCACCTTGTAAACGATCGAAGATGTATCAAATCTTGTATCACTATAGAAGCGATGCAAATTCGATATCATCTGCAGCATCGATCCTCTTGTTTGTAATTATGAGATATGAATTTGACTAAACTATCTTTTTCAGACCGGATAATATAAAATGTGTGATATATCAGATATAAACTTAATTATCATCAATATTGTTCTGTTATATATCTTTGTTCTTAGACAATGAACCACAAGCAGCATTGACACGAGCCTTCTCCACATCAACATGAAATTCCTCATATTTCGATCGGATTTGTAAATCATATAGCTCTCTCTCTCTCTCTATATATTTCGATAGGATTTGTAAATCATTATGAGATACACTATAGGGAGATACTTCTTCGACTTCGAACCACAACTACAAAAATTAATACAGTATGTAACATGATTAACGACTAGTGACCTCTACCTAATCTCTCCCTTAATCGAGCATTATTAAATAAACTAGTTGACGATCCACAACCTAATCCACAATTAAGTATTTATGTTTTTTGTATTTCTCACAACATGTCAGCATGCGACAATCATATAATGTGAATGTAGAATTAATAAACAGTAGCCACATGAAAATTTCGGACCGGTACACTGACCCTGAGCGACACAAATCGTGCGGTCGACTCGCAATTTAAAACACAGAACTTACCAGCCACGAGAAATTAATCTTTTCTTTCGATATATATATACGGTCGGTCGTCCAATTAATATTCCATAAATAGTATCCTGAATTTCAAAATACATAATACAAACGGCATAAGCGTATTTTAAATACGACACGTTTAAATGTAATGGTAGAGAGTATATATTTATGAAAAATTGAATTTGTTGGGTTTCAAAAGTGTTTCGTATATCTTTAAAAATTTCGGCTGACCGTCTGTGTTACAATGATATACTCATATACAACTCGAGTTCTTAAACAGCGGGATCCTCAGAACTACCAACAACCACACTCGAGCTCTCTATCTTGCTGCCGAAAACTATGACATCTAATATCTCCGGAAACAGAATTGCGTAATAAATGAGGGGTCGTTTTCGCAAACCCCGTTTTTGGTCACTATGCAATAACAAGTTTGGGTTTGTCACTAATGGACCTATGACACGGTCTCCATTATTATGACATTTAACTCTCTCTCTTTTTTATTTTATTTACAACTGATACTAATATAATATAACAACTCTATGTCTGTTAAACGAATTTCGTATATAATTTGACATCTAACTTTTTTACAATAAATATCTTCTACATATTATTCTCCTAGACTATGGTCGAGTGATAAAAATGTCAAACAGGGTTAAGGATCAATCATTTGATACGTGCGTGAGTCTTCTTCACGAGCTCTTATTTCGGCTATATATATGGATGGTATACTCATGAAACTTTTCCTTACAAGCCTTTATCTTTTTTATCAATTATTTCATTGGTCCAATTTATTGAATGCAAATATAAACCATTATCATAGTGTTTTATAAATAAATAAAAACCATTATTATAGTGAAAACAACCCTTTTAAAAATAAATAAAAATGGTTTAAACGTCATTAAACGCAAAGCCATAGATTAATGAAGCTAATTACGTGCCTATAAGAATTTTTAAACAAGTTTTTTTTTTGTAACTTTTCTACAAGAATAGCTAGGCATGAAAAGGATCACTCACGTGGTAACACATCGATGTTGTTATTAGTACCATTTAACAATGTAAACGTTAAAAATCTCATTATATATGAAGTTACAAGCAAACTTTATTATTATTGATTTGACCTCGCTAGACTATATTTCTTTATAAAATGGAATTACAGTAATTAACGAGGAAGAAAGCATATGGAATGGTTGTTTACGTGTTTTTCTTGTTGTCAGTGCATCATGCATGCGAGTTTGATTTTGAGTGGGTGACACATCAATGTTATTAATACAAGCAATTACATTACATGTTCAATTGGTCTACAAACAAATATATATATATATATATGTGTGTGTGTGTGCTGTAAGTTGAGTCGTTTTACAGGAAATGATATAAGTATAGCTGTCACATTCAGTAGAGATATCAATATCTAACGTTTGATTCCATTGGCTAATTGTAAGGCTAAACAACATATATATATTGATTAAGAAGATGTCTAAAAAACGAGACCACCATATATATAACATATCCATGGGCCACACTATATATGGGTAAAAATCGTAAAACATATATATATGGTATAGTAATATTCGATGGACAAATTAAGGACAAACGTATAGAGACATTTTATATGTGTCATAATTAAACTAGATAACTATGCTTATTGCATAATTTGTGTGTCGTTTACTTATTCGTCTCATCATAGTCACTTGTATCAATTTGTACGTTAGCCCGTATGGAACGTGAGGAGGCTTTTACGTATTCGCACAACATTCTATAATTTCCTTGTCGCCTTTTACTTATGATCTGTCCTTAAAACACTATACGAATAGTTTGTACATATGTTCCATGTTATGGTTATAATGAAAAGAAAACAAGTTTTATCTTCTCTTTCTAAACTTTTAAAGTTTAAACAATGATAACGGTCAAGGTGAAAACTATCGTTCATCGTAGTGGTGGACTGATGAGGAAAAAATCATCTGGTTTATAATGAAGTCATCAAAGATACTATTCGCTGAAAAATTGAAACACCCAATACAAATCCGAGCTTAAGCTAAAGTGACAGCATTACAAATATGTATTAACTAGCTAATGCGTCACTGATCTATATACTGTATATTAATAACTTAATAATAATAGACCTGACTTTAATTTGTTTATTTTGGAAATGGCCAATTGACCAACAAAAGGAAAGAGGAAAAAAAAAAATTGTGGGGGTGTAGAAGTGGAGCCTACTGAAAAGCTAGGCGTGTTTTGTAATTTGACGAAACATTTGGGGCGAAAATAAAGAGAAACGTAAAGAATGTGACCGACAAAAATAATAAGAGCCGAGACGAAATCGAACTGGACGGCACTTGCGACGTGTAGTGTTAAGCACAAAACGCACTTTGGGGTCTGTCTACTAATAAGTACGTACATGCGTATCCAGAGGATATTTTCCTCTAATCCAGTTACACTCGCCCACGTGTTAGAATGTTTAGTAAAAAATATAAAAAGGCTTATCAGCTGATGAGTCTATTTATCACTATGGATAGATAATCCAATTAGAATATCAGTGTAATTTTTTTTTGGTATCAAAGTGAAGTATTTCGAATTTTGACACAGATTACCAGAAATACTAGTAGCAGAAAACAAAACAAAATATACAGATTACACAAACAACGATAAAATAACGGTAAAGGAAAACGTAAACCAAAACGAAAATGAAAGAAAATACACCGATTCCAAAATGTTAAACTCAGAAATTTACGTGATTTCCACAAATTTGTGTGAATATCAATGTAATTTTTGGCTTTCTTTTGACATGTGTTGGACTTAGGGATCCATTTAATTAGCTTATAACTTTATTTGATAGATATCAAGATTATATCCACACACAATAATTTTTTCTTTTCCAAATAGTATGAAACGATCGAGAGAACCAAACATAGATTATATCTTGATAAGCGATTAATTAGGCCAAAAACAAAATTTTATCAGTAGTCAACAATAAAAATTTATATGCATGTGTCCTGCTACAATACTTGTTTTTTATATATATAAAGAAAACTCAAAACATTTATGATGGGCTTTGAGGAATACTTATGCCTTATGAGATTTGTGTTGACTTGTCATGCATGTAGACAATGTTTACACTTCTTCAGTCAACAAAAACAAATAAATGATTATACCTTTAAAATGAAAATTCCTACAGATTTGAATCACAATTACAAACTCTTAATGAACCTCACAGACTTTGAGAATCGTTTAAATGATATACTAATGAAAACGTGTGCAAGGAACTAATATGATTTTTTTTTTTGTCTATGAAAAAACCTAACTACGCACACCCAATGACCGAAACCAAATATTAAAAACATCAACTACAATAGTATATACGAGTATATATCTTTAGCAAATCGAATTAGTCAAAACGTGGTCATTAATGATTAAACACATCACGACCGGTGGTGTAAAAACAAAGTATACTAGTATTTGTTAAACTAATTAAGTGACTATAAGATGTACGTACGTAGCCCTATAATTATAGCTGGTAGGTCGTCTTCCGACTAATGTTGATTTTGATGATTTTTTAGTATTACATAAACTACACGATGACCACAGGTTTATATATTTTACGAACAACGTCGAAAGATGTGAATAATTTAACATGCTATGATTCTCGCCTTGAATAAGTTAATTATCAGACTACATATATATTTGTGCGCATGAAATTCTTTGTTAACGCAAATATTATGTTCTTTTTGTAAGGACGCAAATATTATGTTTTTTTGGTAAGGAAATTATTTTGTCGTCGAAAACACTACATGTCAACAATATAATTTTCCTTACAAAAAGAACATAATATTTGCTTACAAAAAAAACATTCATTGAAAACACTACATGTATTTCTCTTTCACTTTTACTACATGTCCTTTTTTATTATACATAAAAAATCACTAAACCAATTCTCAGGAATTCGAGAACTGTAATAAACACAAGTTTGATTTTTCTAAAGTATTTAATGTAGAGAAAGCAATATAAGATCAAGATTTATAAACATCAAGATTTGAAACACTCAAATTTAAAAAAAAAAAAAGAAAAAAAAAACAAACAAAAGAAGTCCACATGCGATTCTTTCGGTGCATGGTATATGTAACATGAATATTCGCGTCCAAAGGTAATAATAAAACTAAAAGGTTTTTTGTTTGGCATAGAGAACCAAGAAAATATGACATTATCTGACGATGGTCCTAAAATCAAGAAAATAATTACACACAGTTCTACGGATTGGACACAACTCATAACAATAACGAAGAAAAAAAAAATCTGGTCGGAGAAAAAAAAAACAAAATCAGAGAGATCCCATCGGCTAAGATTGTTAAAACTCCAAAATTATCTTTTTTTTTTCACCAAAACCAAAATTATAAATTTACATTTCTTTACTAAAAGTGCAAAATTATGTTTTTCACCTAAACC